AGGTGAGGTATGGATAAATAAGTGAGTGGTATAGTGTGAGAAGGGCATTTTGCGGCACGTAGTATCGTATCTTGGAGAGGATCCCAACCGTTTTGGATACTTTTTTGGTTATGTGTGGGATATGGATGCTAAAATTCAGGTTGTTGTCGAGGTATAGGCCTAGGAATTTGCCCTCATTATGTCTGGCAATTAGAGTGTTGTCGATCTTAATGTTAATCTGCTACCAAACATAATATAGTAGGTTTTGTCAGTGTTAAGCGTAAGTTTATTGGCTGTCATCCAAGTCGATATTTTGATCAGCTCCTCGTTAACAATTGTGTTGAGGGTGGCAAGATTAGGGTGAGAGATGACATAAGTCGTGTCGTCAGCAAAGAGAATGGGGTTCAGGTGTTGGGATACGTTTGGAAGATCATTGATGTATATGAGGAAGAGCAGGGGACCAAGTACACTTCCCTGCGGAACTCCAGTATCAAGTGGCCGTGTTGTTGATGCTGTGTCTTTAATGGTGACGTACTGATACCTTTACAAAATGTCTGTTACAAGTTTTTCTTTTTACATGTGTTAATCACTATTTGTAACCTCAAACAACGCAGTCAAAACGTTAGGAGAGGATGGGGGAAGGTGGAACAAGATTAATGTTTAATTGCTGAAAGATGATCCACCATGAAGGCAGTGCAGCACGACGTAAAATTTACAAATCATTTAATGTTCGTGTAATATTCCTTACAAAGCTTAAGTGTACATAGACAAAAAGAAAATGATATTTATAACTTTAGAGTGAAGCGAAAAATTTTAAAACAAGTAGAGTAAACCTGAACCTCGTGGGATCCTGCCTCGCCCTTGGCTGGTCTTCATCTCTGTGATAGACTCGCTTTTCGCCAAAAAACCCGCATTTAGTAGAGAACTTGACTTGGTCCAGGATGGACAGAGGCATTCTCATAACGTTCCTTTCCAAAGGTTCAAGTCGAACCGTAACATAAGAAAGGAGGAACACTGCAGCAGGCCTGTTGGCTCATACTAGGTAGGTCGTCATAAGTTTCATTCTCCTATGTGCGAGTTGTTTGTGTATTGTTCCTCCCTAAGTGAGTTTTTTTTTTTCCGTGAATTGTTCCAGCAGCGGTATTGTGACTATTCCTGTCTCGCACTGCTGATCCACAACCACATTCTTTCCATGTACCTTTTTTTTATTAAGTTTAGCTCAAGCGTGGTTGAAAAATCGTTGGAAGAGAATTGATGCAAAAGATTTATTTATTTGAATGTTTATTTTTAGTTTAATTTGCAGGCTTTCAGCTGTTATTTTACGTCAGTTTATTTCAACGCCGTCGTGTTTAAGGTGTGCAGGAGAACCCATGATGTGACTCAGCAGTCGATTAACACCCAAGAACCGATTTACTAAGTGAACAGAGATTTCAATATTGTTATTGTTTTTGTACAAAATGTGTAAAATTGTTACTTTTTTTTTTTTAAGTGTAGAACTTTTTGATACAGCTAGGCAGAAAAACAGGTATGCATAACACTTGTAGTACAGTACATGCATGAAGATTAGGCGAGTTGCTATATATATATATATATATATATATATATATATATATATATATATATATATATATATATATATATATATATATATATATATATATATATATATATATATATATATATATGCAAAACAACCACTCTGAAAGAATAGAGAAATTCCAAGCGCTTTCGTGACTACTCACATTATCAAGGAACTATGAAAGTAAAGCATCCAAGGAAGCTATATAAGGGTTCTGACCAACACCTCACGTATATATATATATATATATATATATATATATTATATATATATATATATATATATATATATTATATATATATATATATATATAATATATATAATATATATATATATATATATATATATATATATATATGCAAAACAACCACTGAAAGAATTCTTTCACAGTGGTTGTTTTGCATATTCTGAAATCACCTGTTTACTGTGATCTTATTACATATATATGTCGTGCCGAATATGTAAAATTGGTCAATTAACAAGAACTCATTTAAAATTAAGTCCTTTCTGAAATTTTCTTTTATACGTTTAAAGATATATTTTTTCATTAATGTTAATGTAAAATTTTTAATTTTGCACCAAAAGAATCTTGGAAAACTTACCTAACCTTATTATAACAAGAGCAATTTATTTTAGCCTAACCCAACTAAATATATTTTAAATACGTTTACAACAATTTAATACTAAACAAACACAATCAGATATTTTTTTTTCGTTAGGTTCAGAATGATTTTGGCGAAATTATTGCATACACAAATTTTCACTTGTCCTCTATGGCAAGATGAGCGTTTCTATTTAAGCCAAGATCGCAAGTTCTGCCTATTCGGCACGAGATATATATATATATATATAATATATATATAATATATATATATATATATATATATATATATATATATATATATATATTATATATATATATATATATATATATATATATATATATATATATATATAGGGAGATTTTGTCATTTATTTTAGACATTGTACATTGAACAAATTTAGATATATTTTTTTATTTAGATGATGCGGCCTGTCATGTTCTTTTTAATGGGATATTTATTCAAGCATGTCTTTCACAGTGGTAGTAAGAATGGTGGGGGAGGGAGGTGGCATCAGTGATGGCGTAGTCGAGTACAAATACAAAGTAGCACATCCCTTGTTCATCTCAGTGAAATGGAGTGATTAAGATGGCTACGAAAAGGATGAGAATGATGATGATGTGAAGAATAGGATAATGCAAGGATTAATTAACAGAACCCTTATTGTTTTTATGAAGTGTCAAGACTTGTGTATGAAGTCACAAAATCAGTAGCTACAAAATGTCATTGCCATACTAATATTTGACTATAATCTTTTCAAGTTCAACTTTTATGGAAATTTAAATGTTAGTAAACGTAAAGTACGTGGATCTAGACCGACTTACTCTAGAACATTATATCTTACATTTATTGAAACTCCAACTTTTTTGATGGAGAATATCACACAAATATCACACGCCCTGCAAGATACGGCATGTCCTTTTATTAATGATAAGTTACTTGAAATCTTAAAATTTTGTCCACATTTTGCAATATTTAGATCAGTAACCAATACGACGATTTTTTTTGTTCATATAATGGCTCAGATAGATACCTGATAAATAACTTTTGTGACCTAAATGTCCTTTTAGTGGTGACGATTGTCGTGGCGGCGGAAATATCATTGTAGTGGTGAGAGATGTTATGGTGACAATGTTGAAGGTGTTGTGATGATGGCAGTGTTGAGGGTGATGGTGGAAGTATTGAGGGTGTGGCAGCAGAGGCCAGAGAAGAAGCAGCTACCATCTGTCGTCGTACTGTACAGTTACTCTCACCTCTGCCTAACCTCTGAGCATAAAGAACACGGGTAAGCCAGCGGTCACTGCATCCAAAGGGCCGGGCTCCGGGAGTCCAAAAACTGCGGAAACTCGTCAAAAGCCCCCTCAAGGAAGGTTCCTTGATGTTGGTGAGGGGCTCTTGAATTAGGGAATTGGATCTGTGCTCAAGTTCCCCGAATTAAGCCTGAATGCCTTCCACATCCCCCCCCCCCAGGCGCTGTATAATCCTCCGGGTTTAGCGCTTCCCCCTTGATTATAATAATAATAATAATCGTCAAAAGCAAAGAAAAAGTCCTCCATAGGGCCTATGACTACTCTACTTTCACGTGTCTAGTCACCTTCACTTTGATATGTCCCTGCCATGGTGCCTGCACAGGTTGCATTTTCTGTCAAGAAATATTTTGGTGGTGGCGGTGGCGGCGGCGGCAGCGGCGGCGACGGTGGTGGCGGCGGCGGCGGCGGCGGCGGTGGTGGCGGGCGGCGGCGGCGGTGGTGGTGGCGGTGGCGGCGGCGGCGGCGGTGGTGGTGGCGGTGGCGGCGGTGGTGGTGGTGGTGCGGTGGCGGTGGTGGTGGCGGCGGCGGCGGTGGTGGCGGCGGTGGTGGCGGCGGCGGCGGTGGTGGTGGCGGCGGCGGCGGCGGCGGCGGCGGTGGCGGCGGCGGTGGCGGTGGCGGCGGCGGTGGTGGCGGCGGCGGCGGCGGCGGTTCTTCTTCTTCTTCTTCTTCTTCTTCTTGCAAAAGTTCATTTATCCTGGATACTTGGTGGGATTTTAGGAACACTGGGGTTGCAAACAACGTCCCTCCTTTGATGTCCACCTCCTCGACTAGCTCCGGGACCCTGGATTAGGAACATATGATTCCTGTATGTTATGAAAATTTACGTCAGTAAAACTAGTGGACTGTATAATCAAGAATTTAAATGGACTCGACTTTTTGAAGTATGTTAAAATTATTAATCACATCATTTTACTTACTAATGTATTACATTGGTGGTATATCCCTCAGTAAGATTACTTAGGAAATTGGCCTGTATCAAATAACCTTACCTGTTGTGTGGGTTTGTAATATACATTGGGAGGCAAACCAAAATTAATGAAGAGTACATGCCGTAATAGACAATATGGTGCTTAATTCACAGTTCCATTTTTCTTTTGTCAAATCACTAGGTTCTTCCATTTCATTCTCTAGCTGGACATTTACAGATTTCTGTCCTCTTCATGTAAGCCATGTGTGTTGTAAAAATCGACTAAAATGCCTGGAGCAACGGGAAAGTAACCCCTTTTTCCGTAAAGCTTACTGAATATTAAGATGTATATGTCATGCCAAATAGGTAAAATTGATCAATTAGCAAGAACTCATATAAAGGTTTGTTATCTCTGTGTCGGTTTGTTTGTGTAGTTGTGTGTCTTCAGAACTATAATATGAAACCGATTATCATATATTTGCTCTTATAGTTTACTCTTTCTTTAGAACACATGGAATGTGTGCTATCATGATCATGTCTCAGAATGAAATTCATAGCCAAAAGTCCTACCACCTTTGTTTCATGCAGTATGTTAATTTTTTTTTTTTTTTTTGGCATTGCAGGCTGAAAAGGCAAAGAAGGAGGCAGAAGCTGCTTTTGAGGAGTGTAGCGATGCTGCTCGACAGGAAGTAAGTGAGACATTTCCAATTTGTGGGTGACAGTCTGCACAGCAGGTTTTTGTTGGGTTATTAATAGTTGTAGGTGATTTGGTGTATTAGATGTAAATCCTTAGCACAAATACCATAGGTGAGGTAAAAGTAGATTAGAAAGTGGTACAATGTAAGTACAGAAGTATTGTTTGAGGTACACAGTAATGTATCTTGAAGAGGATGTCTACTGTTGTGGAGACCTTGGCTGTGTTGGATATGTGTATTAAATTTCAAGTTGCAGTTAAGGTGTAGACTTAAGAATTTACCCTCGGGGTCTTGCAATGGGAGAACAATCAATCATTGTGCTTAGTTGGAAAGACTTTTGTTAATGTGGATAAGAGAGAAGCCGATGAAGGGAGATAAGTGCCTTTAAGTTATATCTGTGAGCAAGCATGTCCAAGATACAGTAAAAGATGTACTTTTGTGGTTTTGGAATGAATTATCATAAAACCCTGTACTTTGGAGTTTGACTTGAGATAGTTTGAAGGTATGATATGTCTTCTGGAATTAATTAAAATATCATAACTCAAAGGAGCACTGTACTTAAAATTTACTCAATTCATAATAAAAATCACAAGAAGGTATGGTAAAATTATTAGGTTTAACAGAGTGGTACTAGTTACTTGAATTACATACAAAATATGATGAGATAGTATATGCATCTAATAATGTATGGGAGTTGAAAGGAAAGCTGGGAAAAGAAGAATAGGGACAGAATTGGATGTAAACAGCAGGTTTCAGGGTATACGTATTGTTGTCAAGATTACATTAAAGTAAGCAGGTGCTTTTTAACAGTAGATTTGAAGAGGTTGGCAGATAGGAAACCTTTAGAATCTTCAGTCATAGTTCCAAATTTTAGGACCTTTTATGTGCATTGAGTTTTTATACAGGTTGAGTGGGACACAGTGAATATCAGAGATTTTTGTCATGTGTTACACCTATGAGTTCTCTTGTGGCTATTAAAGAAGAATTTCAGAGCAGATTTATATTTGAATTGATTTTTTTTTTTTTTTTTTTTTCAACAAGTCGGCCGTCTCCCACCGAGGCAGGGTGACCCAAAAAAGAAAGAAAATCCCCAAAAAGAAAATACTTTCATCATCATTCAACACTTTCACCACACTCGCACATTATCACTGTTTTTGCAGAGGTGCTCAGAATACAACAGTCTAGAAGCATAAACATATAAAGATACACAACATATCCCTCCAAACTGCCAATATCCCAAACCCCTCCTTTAAAGTGCAGGCATTGTACTTCCCATTTCCAGGACTCAAGTCCGACTATATGAAAATAACCGGTTTCCCTGAATCCCTTCACTAAATATTACCCTGCTCACACTCCAACAGATCGTCAGGTCCCAAGTACCATTCGTCTCCATTCACTCCTATCTAACACGCTCACGCACGCTTGCTGGAAGTCCAAGCCCCTTACCCACAAAACCTCCTTTACCCCCTCTCTCCAACCCTTTCGAGGACGACCCCTACCCCGCCTTCCTTCCCCTATAGATTTATATGCTTTCCATGTCATTCTACTGTGATCCATTCTCTCTAAATGACCAAACCACCTCAACAACCCCTCTTCTGCCCTCTGACTAATACTTTTATTAACTCCACACCTTCTCCTAATTTCCACACTCCGAATTTTCTGCATAATATTTACACCACACATTGCCCTTAAACAGGACATCTCCGCTGCCTCCAACCGTCTCCTCGCTGCTGCATTTACCACCCAAGCTTCACACCCATATAAGAGTGTTGGTACTACTATACTTTCATACATTCCCTTCTTTGCCTCCATAGATAACGTTTTTTGACTCCACATATACCTCAACGCACCACTCACCTTTTTTCCCTCATCAATTCTATGATTAACCTCATCCTTCATAAATCCATCCGCCGACACGTCAACTCCCAAGTATCTGAAAACATTCACTTCTTCCATACTCCTCCTCCCCAATTTGATATCCAATTTTTCTTTATCTAAATCATTTGACACCCTCATCACCTTACTCTTTTCTATGTTCACTTTCAACTTTCTACCTTTACACACATTCCCAAACTCATCCACTAACCTTTGCAATTTTTCTTTAGAATCTCCCATAAGCACAGTATCATCAGCAAAAAGTAACTGTGTCAATTCCCATTTTGAATTTGATTCCCCATAATTTAATCCCACCCCTCTCCCAAACACCCTAGCATTTACTTCCTTTACAACCCCATCTATAAATATATTAAACAACCATGGTGACATTACACATCCCTGTCTAAGACCTACTTTTACCGGGAAGTAGTCTCCCTCTCTTCTACACACCCTAACCTGAGCCTCACTATCCTCATAAAAACTCTTTACAGCATTTAATAACTTACCACCTATTCCATATACTTGCAACATCTGCCACATTGCTCCTCTATCCACTCTATCATATGCCTTTTCTAAATCCATAAATGCAATAAAAACTTCCCTATCTTTATCTAAATACTGTTCACATATATGCTTCAATGTAAACACCTGATCTACACATCCCCTACCCACTCTAAAACCTCCTTGCTCATCCGCAATCCTACATTCTGTCTTACCTCTAATTCTTTCAATTATAACCCTACCGTACACTTTTCCTGGTATACTCAGTAAGCTTATTCCTCTATAATTTTTACAGTCTCTTTTGTCCCCTTTCCCTTTATATAAAGGGACTATACATGCTCTCTGCCAATCCCTAGGTACCTTCCCCTCTTTCATACATTTATTAAACAAAAGTACCAACCACTCCAACACTATATCCCCCCCTGCTTTTAACATTTCTGTCATGATCCCATCAGTTCCAGCTGCTTTACCCCCTTTCATTTTACGTAATGCCTCACGTACCTCCCCCACACTTACATTCTGCTCTTCTTCACTCCTAAAAGATGGTATACCTCCCTGACCAGTGCATGAAATTACTGCCTCTGTTTCTTCCTTAACATTTAAAAGTTCCTCAAAATATTCTCGCCATCTACCCAATACCTCCATCTCCCCATCTACTAACTCCCCTACTCTGTTTTTAACTGACAAATCCATATTTTCCCTAGGCTTTCTTAACTTGTTTAACTCACTCCAAAATTTTTTCTTATTTTCATTAAAATTTCTTGACAGTGCCTCTCCCACTCTATCATCTGCTCTCCTTTTGCACTCTCTCACCACTCTCTTTACCTTTCTTTTACTCTCCATATACTCTGCTCTTCTTATAACACTTCTGCTTTGTAAAAACCTCTCATAAGCTACCTTTTTCTCTTTTATCACACCCTTTACTTCATCATTCCACCAATCACTCCTCTTTCCTCCTGCCCCACCCTCCTATAACCACAAACTTCTGCCCCACATTCTAATACTGCATTTTTAAAACTATTCCAACCCTCTTCAACCCCCCCACTACTCATCTTTGCACTAGCCCACCTTTCTGCCAATAGTCGCTTATATCTCACCCGAACTTCCTCCTCCCTTAGTTTATACACTTTCACTTCCCTCTTACTTGTTGTTGCCACCTTCCTCTTTTCCCATCTACCTCTTACTCTAACTGTAGCTACAACTAAATATGATCCGATATATCAGTTGCCCCTCTATAAACATGTACATCCTGGAGCCTACCCATCAACCTTTTATCCACCAATACATAATCTAATAAACTACTTTCATTACGTGCTACATCATACCTTGTATATTTATTTATCCTCTTTTTCATAAAATATGTATTACTTATTACCAAATTTCTTTCTACACATAGCTCAATTAAAGGCTCCCCATTTACATTTACCCCTGGCACCCCAAATTTACCTACTACTCCCTCCATAACATTTTTACCCACTTTAGCATTAAAATCCCCAACCACCATTACTCTCACACTTGATTCAAAACTCCCCACGCATTCACTCAACATTTCCCAAAATCTCTCTCTCTCCTCTACACTTCTCTCTTCTCCAGGTGCATACACGCTTATTATAACCACTTTTCACATCCAATCTTTATTTTACTCCACATAATCCTTGAATTAATACATTTATAGTCCCTCTTTTCCTGCCATAGCTTATCCTTCAACATTATTGCTACTCCTTCTTTAGCTCTAACTCTATTTGAAACCCCTGACCTAATCCCATTTATTCCTCTCCACTGAAACTCTCCCACCCCCTTCAGCTTTGTTTCACTTAAAGCCAGGACATCCAGCTTCTTCTCATTCATAACATCCACAATCATCTCTTTCTTATCATCTGCACAACATCCACGCACATTCAGACTTCCCACTTTGACAATTTTCTTCTTCTTATTCTTTTTAGTAATCTTTACAGGAAAAGGGGTTACTAGCCCATTGTTCCCGGCATTTTAGTTGACTTTTACAACACGCATGGCTTACGGAGGAAAGATTCTTATTCCACTTCCCCATGGATATAAAAGGAAAATTAATAAGACCAAGAACTATTAAGATAAAATCAAAGAAAACTCAGATGAGTGTGTATAAATAAATGTGTACATGTATGTGTAGTGTGACCTAAGTGTAAGTAGAAGTAGCAAGACATGCCTGTAATCTTGCATATTTATGAGACAGACAAAAGACATCAGCAATCCTACCATCATGTAAAACAATCACAGGCTTCGTTTTACACTCACTTGGCAGGACGGTAGTACCTCCCTGGGTGGTTGCTGTCTACCAACCTACTACCTATAAATTGAATTGATTGTCCTATATAAATAGTATGCACAGTAGTATGAGTGAATATTATGTGTATTGAGTAAGTTTAAATTTTTGAAAAGTGAAGGAGTATTTTGTCTGGCAATTGAGTAATTGTTTAGATTTTCAAGTACAGATACCATATGTGAGGTAAGGATAGATTAGAGACTAGTACAAAGCAAGTAGTGCTGGTGGTTGAGGTACTGCATTATCTGAGAAAGAGTTGTACAATTATATAATACTATGGTACTTGGGAAGGTGATGAAGATATTGTAATAAACAATATTTTAAATATTTTTTAATAATACAGTTTAATTACAAAATCTTATTGTAATTTGTACCGTAAATTTTTCAGATCAAACACTTTCAGCGACAACGTGTGACAGAAATGCAAGGGAGTGTGGAACGCTATGCTGCCTATCAACTAACCTCTGCTAGAACTACACTCAGTATACTCTCACAAGCAATCAGTCAAATCAAAGCTATCAACTTATAGGTTATGAAGCAGCTAAACTTTATGTCCAGGTCATTTTTAACCAAGCTCATATGATGTCATTACCATGTTAGAGAAACATGCAGATATTCCTCACAAATTGCAATTGCAGATGCTATTTTATACCTTATTCTCATAATTATAGAGATGTTATTACGGTTGATTTGTCAATCTTTGGTCATTTTCACTTTGAATAGTTGAAAACCAAAGTTAGTCAAATTAGTTATGTATTGATCTCTTATTTTGTTGCATTCTTATTTTTCCTTATAATTGCACCTATGATTTGTAATAATCACAGTATTTACCAGTGATTTCACTGCTCTCAAATTAACTCTATAATTAAAGCAATGCAACCAGCCACAAGGGTATAGATAATGGTTGTATGCTGTATGACTGCTCTTTTGGTACTCCTTTCTGCATTTGTGAGGAACAACAACCGTCCAACACCCTCATGAAGGGAAGATCGAGAGATATCAGAGGTTGGGACAGAATGGCACTTTAATCTGCTTCAGACTTGAAACACTAGTATTTTGTGTGGTATATAATGTACAATATGGAATGTTTGTATAAAATGTGTCATGTCTTTGAGATTACAAAAGAGTGGATAGAACTAGGAAACTGTATCAGCCATATTATTTATGTAATGTTGTATATTATATAAATTTCTTTTTGCAGGATATGAAATAAACATTCAGCTATCGACAGACTTTATTCAGGAAGTATAAGCAACTACTATTTTTGTATGCTCGATTTCACCTATGTGAAGTTTCTGATTTCCTTTGTTATTGTGTTAAATTTTGCACTAATGTATCCGTGATATTCATTTCTGAATGGGTCATAGATTGCCAGTAGAAATTACCCTTTAAGTCTGAAAGCAAATTTTACCACTACAAGCAGTATTTTAATTGTTTAAGTACTGGTGTGTTAATTTAGTGTGACCTCAGGTATGTTGCAATACATTCTCTTAATTTCTATAATCACAGCTATTAAGAAGAATTTAAAAATACTAACAGTCACTAACAAAAAGGGGTTATTAATGTTTGTTATTAATATTTTTTTTTTTTTTTTTAAACTAATTTTGTTCAATGTTTTTCGATGGAAATTGCATGCAACAAATTTTTTCCTGTGGATGAAGAAATTTATAGTCATCACAGTACAATATTTATCTTCTTATACTGTAGTACTACATACAGTATTATTTGGAAATTTGCAATTAGTTGTCAATTTCACACAACTAGATTTAAAAAAATGGTGTTACAAAAAATTATTTGATTATTCATTAACTTCAGAGTTTTTCAAAAGCTTTAACCCTTTCAGGGTCCGTCCCGTAGATCTACGGCTTTATGGTGAGTGTCCAAACCGTAGATCTACGCCATGAGCTCAGCTCACTCTGATAAACTGTGAGTGGTACATTTGGGCCTAGATATGAGAGAATACATCTATGTGGTATGTGTGCACCACATAAAACAGATCCTGCAGCACACTGTGTATAATGAGAGAAAAAAACTGAAATCATGATTTTTTGATTAAAACAGCAACTTTGCAGTGTTTTTTCGTATGTTTTTTATAGTTGTATTTGCGATTTCTTGGTCTCATTTGATAGAATGGAAGACATATTACAGAAATAGAGATGATTTTGATTGGTTTTAGCACTGGAAATGGCTTGAAACTGAGCTCAAAGTAGCGGAAATGTTAAATTTTTGCCGATATTCAAGAGTAAACAAACGACCTCACACGTCTAATACACGTCAGCTGGTGGGTCTAATATACATTCACAAATATGGTGATGATATTTATACAATTATTACAGAATTGCATAGCAGTAAATCTTCTAGTTTTTGGTGTGAATAAAAATTCATTATGTGAATAAAAAATCAAAATGGAATTTATTTGTAAAACCTCAAAACATGACTAATGAACGGAGGAAATGTTAGTTTAGTGCCAGGAATGCCTACATTGTTTATTCTGGACCCTATTTTGAAATTGGAATATTTTGAACTTTGTGTTAAATTGGCCAAATTAACAATTTCCGATCACTTTATTTTGTAGTTGAAACAGTTGACTTGGCGATTTCTTGTGCTCAATCGATAGAATAGAAGTAATACTAGTGAAATAGCTAAGAATTTGGTTGATTGGAACAATGTAATTGGCCTAAAATGGGAGTCAAAGTCGGCAAAATCGCCGATTCGTAAATATCGCTGACACATCAAAATTCGCGAGAGCATAATTTCGTCAATTTTCCACCAAATTTCGTACTTTTTGTTTTATTACCTTCACAAAAAGATTCTCTACGATTTCATAAGAAAAAATAACAAATTTTTTTTTTGAAAATTCTTGGACACTGGTGCGTGACTCCAGATTTGGGCCTTGGACCCTGAAAGGGTTAAGTTACATAGGCCCTCTAGAAATTTACTCTTCTCATATAGTTATCAGTAGAAGGGCCATACCACATACAGTATATTTCTTAAGACTTCTTTGGGTCACCCGGCCAAAGCAGGGTGACCCAAAGCATACATTAGATATAAATATCAAAATTTCTTTAATCTAAGGTTGCAAAGTACTGGATATTTAATCCAAGCTATGTCACAACTGTATGGCCTTAAAATTAAGATTGAACAGCCTTTCCTGCAAAATATTTCTTGAGTTATTTATTAAATGTATTGCTGGTATAATGCTAAAGCTCTGTTATTTCAAAATTTCTATCAGTATTGGAAAAGTTAGCTTTCTTTATTAATTTTATATTCAGTATCTTAATTTTCCATTATTAGTACAATTTATAAGTCCAGTATTTATAACCTTATTGTGTTTCAGTCCATCTTCATACATCTTTAGAATTCTTAATCATGTCAGTGGCTGAGTACCAATACCAAAGGTATATGTATAATATGATTTTACTTAAAAAGTTGTGGTGTAAAATGTCTTTACTCTGTATCTTGTATAGTTTTCTTAAAGCAGTACTTGAGAGTGGCAACAGCATGGGGGCTGAAGCCCCCCATAATCTCAGCCTCCTCAAAGCTCCCCATATATAAATAATAATAATGATGATGAAAATAATATCACAACTTCAAGACAGTCCCCTAGCCCCCCCTTCCAACCAGATTGGTAGTTGACTTAAAGGATATAGTTTATTCTGTAAAAAAAAAAAAATTGTTGTGGCAAGATACTGTTTGGGTTGCAGAAAAATGTTTTATCAGTATATAACAAATTGCTCTTGTTTGGTGTTAGATGACAGAGAATAGGAAAGTCACATTCTGCCTCTCCAAGTTTTTTGTGGGTTATGAATACTGGTTCTGTATATAATAAAATGGATTCAGAGTGCAAACTTCAAATACGAAACTAGTCAGGAAAGCCTATCACATGACGTGACATTTATTAAACTAAAGTGCCAAAAGGGTCGAATCATAGATAGGTGTGTTGATGATTAGTCACAAACTTCATAGATGATTTTGACCAAATAATTTATTTTTTGCAAGTCTGTACTGTACGTGTATATGTATTTTATTCTCTTTAGCTTTCACTGCTTACCAAATAATTTATCCTCATGTAGAATAAAAGTTAGACTGCTGTGACTGGAATTAACATAAATTTATGAGACGAGACCTTAAATGACATTTCAGTCTATCCTAGATGATCATGAACTCATAATTTTATAATGTTCCAAGATGAACTAGAACATCGTCTTGATTTTCATATCCAATGAGATACTTTCGAATTTATCCAGGTGATTGCTCTGGCTAAACACTCAGGTTGCTGCTTGGAAATGTAAAGTCTTTCTAAAGATGTAAAACAGGTACACAGTACATTATTAGTTTAGATTTCCTGTAAAGGAAACAGTTGGATGACATTTTGCTTGTGCAGCAAGCTTTTCCAAGTCTGATAAATCATATCTGGTGGCTACACAGTTGATAGGCAGAAGAGAGGAACATAGGTGTTAACCCAAGAAAATATGAAAATAGAGAAACTGCAGTAGACCTGCTAGCCCATGCTAGGTAAGTTCTGAGCCCTAGCCCATGCTAGGTAAGTTCTGAGCCCTAGCCCATGCTAGGTAAGTTCTGAGCCCTAGCCCATGCTAGGTAAGTTCTGAGCCCTAGCCCATGCTAGGTAAGTTCTGAGCCCTAGCCCATGCTAGGTAAGTTCTGAGCCCTAGCCCATGCTAGGTAAATTCTGAACCCTAGCCCATGCTAGGTAAGTTCTGAGCCCTAGCCCATGCTAGGTAAGTTCTGAGCCCCAGCCCATGCTAGGTAAGTTCTGAGCCCTAGCCCATGCTAGGTAAGTTCTGAGCCCTAGCCCATGCTAGGTAAGTTCTGAGCCCTAACCCATGCTAGGTAAGTTCTGAGCCCTAGCCCATGCTAGGTAAGTTCTGAGCCCTAGCCCATGCTAGGTAAGTTCTGAGCCCTAGCCCATGCTAGGTAAGTTCTGAGCCCTAGCCCATGCTAGGTAAGTTCTGAGCCCTAGCCATGCTAGGTAAGTTCTGAGCCCTAGCCCATGCTAGGTAAGTTCTGAGCCCTAGCCCATGCTAGGTAAGTTCTGAGCCCTAGCCCATGCTAGGTAAGTTCTGAGCCCTAGCCCATGCTAGGTAAGTTCTGAGCCCTAGCCCATGCTAGGTAAGTTCTGAGCCCTAGCCCATGCTAGGTAAGTTCTGAGCCCTAGCCCATGCTAGGTAAATTCTGAGTTTTGCTGGCATATTAAGTATAGATATTCTTTGTAGTAGTGATGGTTTGTAGTTCTAGGTGGTATATCTGCTTTTATATCTCTATTGCTCAAGGTAGGATTACTGGTGTCTCTGTCTCATAAACATGCAAGTCTTGCTAATTCTACTTACACTTGAGTCACACTACACATGCTTGTGCAAGCATATATATTTATACACCCCTCTGGGTTTTCTTGTGTTTTCTTATCAGTTCTTGTTCTTGTTTATTCCCTCTTATCTCAATGGGGAAGTGGAACAGAATTCTTTCTCTGTAAGCCATGCATGCTGTAAGAGGTGATTAACATGCTGGGAGCAAGGGGCTAGTAACCCCTTCTGGTGGGAGATGGCCAGCTTCATAGAAAAGAAAAATTGCTCAAGGTTTGGCCAATTGGAAGCTGCCTTGGTTCTGCAATTGTGTTTGATGTTAGGAGAACAGTTTCATGGCATTTCCTTCCCTTTTTATTTAGTTTTGAATTAGAATATCTCATTAAATGACTGTGTGCATTTCTATGGTGTGCTCTTTGATATGTTTACCTTAAGTTTCTGGCGGTGTCTCCTATATAAATCTTGTCACATTTACTGCATTAAATTTCATACACACCAGCTTCGATGTACAGCGGTACTTCGAGTTTCGAACAGCTCCTAACTCAAACAATTGTGTAAGTGTATTTTTGTAAGTGTATTTTTGGGGGGTCTGAAATGGACTAATCTATTTTACATTATTCCTTATGGGAACAGATTCGTTCAGTATCGGCACTCGAACAGCCTTCTGGAATGAATTAATTTTGTAACTCAAGGTACCACTGTATTTTGTTTTTCCACCTAGTGATGTCACAGACATTAGATGAGGTTATGACAGCCAGTTTGTCACTGGCTTGGCTCAAAATGTTGGAGGCTACATCACATGTAGGTGAAAATTACAATGTGATTTTTTTTTTTTTTTTTTTTTTTTTTTTTTTGGTGGTACTACAAATTAGAAAGAAGAATGTTGGGCACTGCAATTTTACATGTAACTTTTTTTTATACTTTTCATTTAGGACACACAGGCAATAAGTTTTATATAAATGTAAAAAAGACCCAGTTAATACACCTCTTTTTGCCACCTGAGTGGTTTAAAATTGAATCGCTGATGGAACTGAGAAGTTTAGATATGTAGCAAGAATGCCTACCAGATAAAATGGATTTAATGGAATATTTAACTTACGTATCTTAGGGAGTAAAGACATATTGGCCAGTTTCAAATTGGTGGGAATAAGGTGCATTGATGTCTTTCCTTGTTCTGATTATTTATAATCTGTCTCAATTTTGTAAATCTTTTTGTGAGGTGGAGGAGTATATGTATAACATTATTGGGAAGATCTAATATTTTGGTATTGTAATCAGTTTGTGTCAGAATGCTATGAAACGACTTTTATCATGACATCAAATGTAATCATACAGATCTGAGGTGGCTTCCAGCTGGCAAAACTTTGGCACTACAAAGATTAAACCAAGTAAACCATTGAATACTACTACTACTACTAATGGTGCTGCTGCTGCTGCTTATTCTTGTTATGACTACTACTACCACCAGCAGTATTACCACTCAATGTGCTGGCAAGAATCAGGACCTACCTAGTATGCACCTGTAATGCTTTCCTAAAATTTACCTATTTTCCTAAAACCTGACTATGTTCTTCCTGCCTATGAAGTGTACTGCGACCAAGTATAATTTGTTAGATTTGAAAAAGCATGCTGCTTTTGTGTCTTCATCAACTGCAACTTGTTATAAAAGGTACATCAATTGATCATTTGTGACAGTTGATTGAAATAATTATTTTAAATTAAATTCTTAAATATTTCATAATTAAGCATGTAAAAATATTAGTTATTTCTCAAAAGTCCAGTCAAACCATGTTATTTTAAAAATACCCTTTAACTGGGGGTGGGCATGAAATTAAAATTTCCCTGTGGATATCCAAATTTTGTAAGTTATTTTTCTTAAATATGCAAGATTACAGGCATGTCTTGCTACTTCTACTTACACTTAGGTCACACTACACATACATGTACACATTTATTTATACACACTCATCTGAGTTTTCTTTGATTTTATCTTAATAGTTCTTGGTCTTATTAATTTTCCTTTTATATCCATGGGGAAGTGGAATAAGAATCTTTCCTCCGTAAGCCATGCGTGTTGTAAAAGTCAACTAAAATGCCGGGAACAATGGGCTAGTAACCCCTTTTCCTGTAAAGATTACTAAAAAGAATAAGAAGAAGAAAATTGTCAAAGTGGGAAGTCTGAATGTGCGTGGATGTTGTGCAGATGATAAGAAAGAGATGATTGTGGATGTTATGAATGAGAAGAAGCTGGATGTCCTGGCTTTAAGTGAAACAAAGCTGAAGGGGGTGGGAGAGTTTCAGTGGAGAGGAATAAATGGGATTAGGTCAGGGTTTCAAATAGAGTTAGAGCTAAAGAAGGAGTAGCAATAATGTTGAAGGATAAGCTATGGCAGGAAAAGAGGGACTATAAATGTATTAATTCAAGGATTATGTGGAGTAAAATAAAGATTGGATGTGAAAAGTGGGTTATAATAAGCGTGTATGCACCTGGAGAAGAGAGAAGTGTAGAGGAGAGAGAGAGATTTTGGGAAATGTTGAGTGAATGCGTGGGGAGTTTTGAATCAAGTGTGAGAGTAATGGTGGTTGGGGATTTTAATGCTAAAGTGGGTAAAAAATGTTTTGGAGGGAGTAGTAGGTAAATTTGGGGTGCCAGGGGTAAATGTAAATGGGGGGCCTTTAATTGAGCTATGTGTAGAAAGAAATTTGGTAATAAGTAATACATATTTTATGAAAAGAGGATAAATAAATATACAAGGTATGATGTAGCACGTAATGAAAGTAGTTTATTAGATTATGTATTGGTGGATAAAAGGTTGATGGGTAGGCTCCAGGATGTACATGTTTATAGAGGGGCAACTGATATATCGGATCATTATTTAGTTTGTAGCTACAGTTAGAGTAAGAGGTAGATGGGAAAAGAGGAAGGTGGCAACAACAAGTAAGAGGGAGGTGAAAGTGTATAAACTAAGGGAGGAGGAAGTTCGGGTGAGATATAAGCGACTATTGGCAGAAAGGTGGGCTAGTGCAAAGATGAGTAGTGGGGGGGTTGAAGAGGGTTGGAATAGTTTTAAAAATGCAGTATTAGAATGTGGGGCAGAAGTTTGTGGTTATAGGAGGGTGGGGGCAGGAGGAAAGAGGAGTGATTGGTGGAATGATGAAGTAAAGGGTGTGAATAAAGAGAAAAAGGTAGCTTATGAGAGGTTTTTACAAAGCAGAAGTGTTATAAGAAGAGCAGAGTATATGGAGAGTAAAAGAAAGGTAAAGAGAGTGGTGAGAGAGTGCAAAAGGAGAGCAGATGATAGAGTGGGAGAGGCACTGTCAAGAAATTTTAATGAAAATAAGAAAAATTTTGGATGTGATTTAAAAACAAGTTAAGAAAGCCTAGGGAAAATATGGATTTGTCAGTTAAAAACAGAGTAGGGGAGTTAGTAGATGGGGAGATGGAGGTATTGGGAAGATGGCGAGAATTTTTGAGGAACTTTTAAATGTTAAGGAAGAAACAGAGGCAGTAATTTCATGCACTGGTCAGGGGGGGTATACCATCTTTTAGGAGTGAAGAAGAGCAGAAGTAAGTGTGGGGGAGGTACGTGAGGCATTACGTAAAATGAAAGGGGGTAAAGCAGCTGGAACTGAGGGGATCATGACGAAATGTTAAAAGCAGGGGGGGATATAGTGTTGGAGTGGTTGGTACTTTTGTTTAATAAATGTATGAAAGAGGGGAAGGTACCTAGGGATTGGCAGAGGGGCTTTGTATAGTCCCTTTATAAAAAGGGGAAGGGGACAAAGAGACTGTAAAAATTATAGAGGAATAAGGGCTTATGAGTATACCAGGAAAAGTGTACGGTAGGGTTATAATTGAAAGAATTAGAGTAAGACAGAATGTAGGATTGCGGATGAGCAAGGGGTTTTAGAGGGGTAGGGGATGTGTAGATCAGGTGTTTACATTGAAGCATATATGTAAAACAGTATTTAGATAAAGATAGGGAAGTTTTTATTGCTTTTATGGATTTAGAAAAGGCATATGATAGAGTGGATAGGGGAGAAATGTGGCAGATGTTGCAATTTATATGGAATAGGTGGTAAGTTATTAAATGCTGTAAAGAGTTTTTATGAGGATAGGGGAGGCTCAGGTTAGGGTGTTTTAGAAGAGAGGAGACTACTTCCCCGGGTTTAAAAGTAGGTCTTAGACAGGGATGTGTAATGTCACCATGGTTGTTTAATATATTATAGATGGGGTTGTAAAGGAAGTAAATGGTAGGGTGTTTGGGGGGAGGGGTGGGTTTTAAATTATGGGGAATCAAATTCAAAATGGGAATTGACACATTTACTTTTTGCTGATGATACTGTGCTTAGGGGAGATTCTAAAGAAAAATTGCAAAGGTTAGTGGATGAGTTTGGGAATGTGTGTAAGGTAGAAAGTTGAAAGTGAACATAGAAAAGAGTAAGGTGATGAGGGTGTCAAATGATTTAGATAAAAAAATTGGATATAAAATTTGGGGGAGGAGGAGTATGGAAGAAGTAAATGTTTTCAGATACTTGGGAGTTGACGTGTCGGCGGATGGATTTATGAAGGATGAGGTTAATCATAGAATTGATGAGGGAAAAAGGTGAGTGGTGCTTTTGAGGTATATGTGGAGTCAAAAAACGTTATCTATGGAGGCAAGAAGGGAATGTATAAAAGTATAGTAGTACCAACACTCTTATATGGGTGTGAAGCTTGGGGGGTAAATGCAGCAGCGAGGAGAGGGTTTGGGAAAGGCAGCGGAGATGTCCTGTTTAAGGGCAATGTGTGGTGTAAATATTAGCAAAAAATTCGGAGTGTGGAAATTAGGAGAAGGTGTGGAGTTAATAAAAGTATTAGTCAGAGGGCAGAAGAGGGTGTTGTTGAGGTGGTTTGGTCATTTAGAGAGAATGGATCACAGTTAGAATGACATGGAAAGCATATAAATCTATAGGGGAAGGAAGGCGGGGTAGGGTCGTCCTCGAAAGGGGTTTGGGAGAGAGGGGGTAAAGGAGGTTTTGTGGGTAAGGGGCTTGGACTTCCAGCAAGCGTGCGTGAGCTTTGTTAGATAGGAGTGAATGGAGCGAATGGTACTTGGGACCTGACGATCTGTTGGAGTGTGAGCAGGGTAATATTAGTGAGGGGATTCAGGGAAACCGGTTATTTTCATAAAAGTCGGACTTGAGCCCTGGAAATGGGGAGTCGTGCCTGCACTTTAAGGAGGGTTTGGGATTTTGGGCAGTTTGGAGGGATATGTTGTGTATCTTTATATGTTTATGCTTCTAGACTGTTGTATTCTGAGCACCTCTGCAAAGACAGTGATGATGTGCGAGTGTGGTGAAAGTGTTGAATGATGATGAAAGTATTTTCTTTTTGGGGATTTTCTTTCTTTTTTGGGTCACCCTGCCTCGGTGGGAGACGGCCGACTTGTTGAAAAAAAAAAAAAAAAAAAAAAATTTTCTTACAGATTGAAAGAGCCTATTTTTTCTAAATATAACTACAAAAAGAAAACTGAAATCAAAGGAAAACCTGCAATATTATGGTGTATTGAAGGAGATGAAAAAAAATGATCACTCATCAGCAACAGTAAATGCACATAGCATTATTTATGGTCTTCAATTTATTTATGTCAAGGTAGGATTGTTTCATTTTTTTCAGTCTCTGACACTGTGTATACTACTTTCTTAGGATAATGGCTGTGTTTCAAGGTGTTTTATTACTTGACACAAGTAGAGATGCATAGTATGTTATAGCCCCAATTACAAAATTCACTATAAATTGATTCAAATAATTTTTTTTTGTCTGTATTCTAACACTATGTAGAAGAAAATCTTATGATATTACAATTGCTTCAAGTTGTGATATTCCTTAAAACATGGCACATTGTTTAACTACAGTATTTTCATTATCCTAGGTTAAATCCTGCCAGTTCCACACCCAGCTTTCTGGCAGTGAAGCTGGTGATGAGATAACAGATCCTGGTTGCATTTTTTTACACATTCTACTGAGACAGTGTTGCCCATGATGCATACATGAACCCACCTGGTCTTAGATTTTTGTCCCAGGTTTGAAGTAGTAAGCAGCTAAACAGTTGAGCCAAGACCTAAAATGATGGCAGGTTGCGTATTTGAAAGGATGAAAATTACACGTACCAGTATGCCATACACAATTTGGTCCACTGAGTACAGTGGACCCCCGGTTAACGAACTTTTTTCATTCCAGTAGTATGTTCAGGTGCCAGTACTGACCGAATTTTTTCCCATAAGGAATATTGTGAAGTAGATTAGTCCATTTCAGACCCCCAAACATACACGTACAAACGCACTTACATAAATACACTTACATAATTGGTCGCATTCGGAGGTAATCGTTATGCGGGGGTCCACTGTACTAAGACGTCATCCACATTTAAAAAGTGTTTAACAAGTGTACAAATGATATAGTAATGATCTTGAAAGCAAATATAATTTTTTGCTGAATATTGAAGGAGAGAATTTGTAATAGGTTCAAGCTAACAAATTTTATCATTAACTCTTGGATTCACTGGAAGATGAACTAATTGCAGATGTAGGGTACACTGATTTTGCAAAATCTTTCAACAAGTGCTACCATGGTGTAATAGCACACAAAATGAGTGCAAAAGAAATAACTGGATTAAGTGGGTAAATGGATAATTAATTTCTTAACAAATTGAGCCCAGACAGTAATAGTAAACAGTGACATCAGAGGCTGTTACAGTAAGCTTTGTTCCTCAAAGCACAGTACTTGCCCCTCTTCTGTTTCTCATTCTTACATCTTATAGACAAGGACAATTCATAGTACCATATCCTTTGCAGAAGATACTAGAATTTAGAAGAGTGGCATCCATTGAGGATAGTGAACCTTCAAGCAGATATAAACAAAGTCTTTTGGTGGGCCACAGATAGTGTGGTATTCAGTGAAGACTAATTTTAGTTGCTTCACTGTGGAAGAATTGAGGAAATAAAGGCTGAAATGGAGTACAAGTCAAACTAGAATCATTCATTAGAGCACAAGTTCACCATGAGAGACTTGGGAGTGCCAGTGTCAGTGTCAAGAATCACAACAATGTTACTGTAGCAACTGCAAGGAAAATAATAGCGTGAATAAGAAGAGATACCTACCCAGTGATAATTCTTTTCAAGTCACATGTTCTTTTTAGGTTTGAATATTGCTGCATATATTAACAGGAGAGCGTGCAGAGCTGGAGAACGTACGGAGAACCTTCACTACCCTTATAAATTTAAGTCAGTCATGTGAGTTACTGAAACCATTTGAAGTCCTCTTCCTCTTGGAACATAAGCAAGAAAGATACATCATAATTTACACCTGGAAAACCTGAAGGGTCTGGTCCCAAACCTGAATGGTGAAATTACTCCTTATGAAAGTAAGAGACTTGGCAAAATACCTCTAATTAAGAACAGACACAATGAGAGAGAACACAGTAGGTGTAAGGAGCCCTAAACTCAACACCCCTCCCTTCTTAAGGGAAAGTATCAACAAACCCCTTTGCCGTTTTCAAGAGGGAATGTTATAAATTCCTCAAGTCAGTTCCTCAGCAGCTGGGTTGTGGTGCAAACATTGGACTGAGTGTAGCAGGCACTGGAAGGCCTTCTCTGGGTCTGGGATGTGGGGGCAGTAATCCCTGAAATTGTATCGAGTGATTTCTAGCAATGTTGGCATACTAACCCGATGAGTAATGTAAAAAACTAAAGTTTTATAGTTTCACACTGAGTATTGTGATATCCAGTAGAATATGTATTACCAGATAAGGGCTTGACCTTTCAAGGAACACATTACGAATGTAATTTGCGAATTAATTAATGTCTTGCACTTAATCTCAAGATTATATCATGTTCCTTGAAATTGCAATGTGCAACTTTTATACACTCGTATTTCTTCAAAAATGATCATATTTAAATATTTGAATATTTACGGTATATTAAGAAGTATTGGAGTAGGACATTTTTCAGAATACTGTATACAGAAATCAGGCTAAGTCACAGAAATACAAAATATAGTATGTAAGTCTATATTTATTCTTTAATTCACTTCCTTTGTTTTTAATTAAGGTACAGTGACCCTTAAGAATAAATGCTGCTGTAATAAAGTTGGTAAATAACTTAGCTCTTTGTCTTCATTTCGTGCTCGTGAACTTTAATGATAGTCGATTGTTGACTTAGGAGACTAAGTTGGTTAGTAAATTTGCACTTGTTTTGTAAAAGTATAATAATAGAAATGAAGATTATACAAGAAAAGTGACATCACTTACCCAGGGATAGGAAATGTTTCAGATTTCCTCCAAGTCATCTTATTCTTTCTTTCAACACACCGGCCGTATCCCACCGAGGGGGGGGGGAAGCCAAAAGGAAAAACAAAAGTATCTCCTTTTACATTTAGTAATATATACAGAGAAGGGGTTACTAGTCCCTTGCTCCTGGCATTTTAGTCACCTCTTACAACATGCATGGCTTACTGAGGAAGAATTCTGTTCCACTTCCCCCATGGAGGTAAGAGGAAATGAACAAGAACTAGAAAGAAAATACGTAGAAGAAAACCCAGAGGGGTGTGTATATATATGCTTGTACATGTATGTGTAGTGTGACCTAAGTGTAAGTAGAAGTAGCAAGATGTACCTGAAATCTTGCATGTGTATGAGACAGAAAAAAAAAAAAGACACCAGCAATCCTACCATCGTGTAAAACAATTACAGGCTTCCATTTTACTCACTTGGCTGGATGGTAGTACCTCCCTGGGCGGTTGCTGTCTACCAACCTACTACCTAGGAAGTCATCTTTATTATGGAACAATAAACAAGAGTGGCCCTCGATTATTTTGAGTTGAAATCTAATTGCTAAAGTTTATAGACAACTGCTTTAGGTTAACTCATCACATGAATCTTCTTATGTCATTAATAGTTTTGAGTAATACATTTCCATTTCCAGTGAGTTTATCATTTATTCTAGCAACTAAAAAAATTGTCTCATTGTTGATTGTTACTAGCCATTCATAATTCATTCCTTTTTTTACTGTATTTCATGTTAAATAGACTTTGCATTTCTTTATAAAAAGGTATGAAATTTTCCAAATTAAGTTATTCATTATTGGATACAGTACAGTACAGGTTTCCCTCATTGTATGTAGTTTCACTTGTACAAATTCCCTTTTATGCAGTCACCCCATTTCTACCAATAATTAGCCATGAGATGTAAATTCTCTTATTCATTCACCAGAGCCCAACCCCACTTGATGCTTAACCATGATGTTTATACATCATGAGCATAGGCAGTCCAGTGACCATACTTTATATGAAGTGCTATGGTTAATTCGATTGAAGTGCCTTGCGCCAAGCTCTCACCCCTCCCCCTAGAAAAAGAAGACACCTGGCCAGATAATGTTGTGTTGCTCCTATACAAATTTAGGAGTAGAGGGGGAGAGGGAGCATAGGAGGGAAATATATCTTCATAGGTTAATCATATGTGCACTTCAGTCCAGAAAAAAAGACAAGCAGGTTGGGTGGCAGTGGAGGCATTATCGTTGTATTATAGGTTAAATTTGTTCTCATCTCTCTTGTTTTTTGATGAATTTCATTTATTTTGGGTATATGGGTAAACTGTCATATCTGAGTACCTCTGCAAAGACAGTGATTGTGTGAATGATGGTGAAAATGTTGAATAATTGTGAGTGTTTCTCTTTTTTTTGGGTCACCCTGCCTCAGTGGGAGGCAGCCAGTGTTAAAAAAAAAATGGCTTTTTAGTGTATCTATCTGGTATGCTCATAAAAATAAACTAAGAAATGTGGAATTTTCATTCCTGATTTTGTACTCTATAGAGATTATAATTGAATTTTAGATTTTATTCATTTTAGTTATTTTTCAACCAAGTTCATTTTTTTTATGACCATTTAGAGCATGTGTGGTAAGCTTTTCTTTTTGTATTAGTTTTATTTAAATACAGTGGAACCTCAAAAATCGAACTGCTCCCAACACAACCAATTATGTAAGCGTATTTTTGTAAGTGCTTTTATAAGTGTATTTTTAAGGGTCTGAAATGGACTAATCTAATTTACATTATTCCTGATGGGAATAAATTCATTCGGTAAAGGCACTCGAACAGACTTCTGAACCGAAGAAAGTTCGATATTTGAGGTTCCACTGTATAGGAATAGTCAAGAAATGTTGAATTTGCAGTCTCAGAATGAGTCCCTTTTTTTTTTTTTATGTTATACTGGGCTCACTTGATGCACCACTGGTCAGGAATGCATCTGTCATATAAAGCGAGGGATGCTTGTACATTTTTTTTTATTTGAAGGGTTATTCCCCTGTTTTAGTTAGACTATTAAAAATAAAATTCTGATGCACATAAATCATACCTTAAAGATTAATTAGTTCATTTTATAAGGGAAAAACCACATTCCAGTATAGAAAGTAAACTATATAAAGTACGTAATAATTAGTTACTTTGATGATGTATATTTTGTCTACATGCAAATTTACTGTTTTAGAGTTGTAACATTTACCAAAATATTGTTTATACATACAGTATTTTGTTTGAAGTCTATTAGCTTGCTTTTTATATCATTTATTACAGTCAGTTGGCCATTAGTGATGCTTAGCATACATTCCCAGGTGAGTGATAAATGTATTCGCATGCTGGCACCTGAGATGCTGCCTGCTGTGCCAAGTGTTCACCTCAAATTTTGAACGTTAGAATAAGCTACTGCCCCCTATAATAGCTTTTATTGGTTTAGTTGTGCTTCAGGGGTTGAATTACAAAATTCTCTGCTGTTGCCCTTTGAGCAAATTTTGTCATCAATGCCTTGTTCATGAAATGTTTTGATTTCTTTATGTAAATTTACCTCTGCCATAATATTAGACCATCTTAAAAATGATACTCACGAATATTTCTCATATTTGTAGGATTTTGTAAACTGTGAATGTAAAGCCTAGAGGTGTTAGTCACCACCATTCTCTTTTAAGATTCAGTAATACGCTGGCCATCAGCCATTATTTGACAAGTGCTGGCTGCTGACTCACCACTTCTTTACATTATAGTAATCAGCCATTTATATTGACCTCCAGTTGGTGAAAGATAATTACATACTGCCTTTCAAGACACTTGCCTTATATCCTGATTGACAAGGGATAAAACAGATCTTTGCTTCTTTACTATATACTTTTTATGTTTAGAAGCTTTTTCTATTGTAGTTCTGATACATATTTTGTGAAATTAGCAAAAGCTGTTTGTTTAGGCATAATAAAAACAGCACCAGTACTTATGCCAACATGCCTAATACATTCCATAACTAGTTTTATGCATAATTAATTTTGTACGAGTTGTAGCCAAAATACTGTAGGCAGCTACAAAATAATAACACATTTTTATTGGCTTAAAGCTCAAGCTGTTATTCATTCCAAATATATGGCATGCATGTACAAACTAAGTTCCTATTATTTAAATACATATTCTTTGTGCAGGTTAATGAATACATCAAATTTTTTGACTCAGCCATTGTAACTCTTGTAACTGTGATTTTTGCATAAGTCTTATACTTTATAAATTGCACTAGCAATTTAATGCAGTGTTTTCAATAGACTTCCACATTGCCTCAATACTTCAGTAAAATTGATGCTTCTGTAATTCATCTGGGATTAATTTTAGCCTTATTTATAATATCCAAGTGTTAAGCAATGAGAGTTCTTGGAAATTAAATAAAATGAATTACAGTGGCATAACTTTTCTTTTATAATATTTGTATATTCATTTTTGCAGTACTAAAGTGAAGCAATATGCTAGTAGAAGATAAAGGAGATTCTTTAATCGAGGCTTGGTCACCCTGATAATGTGACCAACGGTGCTTGGTCGATACAGAAGCCAGGGTTTAAAGTACAGTACAGTATTGGGCAATATGCTATTGAGTTCTAAACAATGAAAGATCATTGTAACAGAATTTAATTATGTGCTCTCAAAAGAGAACTGATCAATAACATTGCATATAGTTTCTAATTTATATTAAAAATAATTTTGTGTTGCTTGCAGTTGATTTTGCTGGAATTGTCGGAATTGTTATTTTAAATTTATATCCTTGAAGTTCAATTATGTTTTTATGCCTGATCATACACAGTGGTACTGTACAGTATTTATTACAATATGCAATATTGCATATGACTTTCATAGCTTTGATATATCTAACTGGTGAGAGGAATGCATTATGTTTTTTATATTATTTTTGTGATTTTGGAATCATTTCCAAGAACTCAAAATAACAATACAGTGAAAAGTGGATGCATGCAGGGGCATTACTAATTTTATAATGTGTAATTTCTTTTAAATTTAGCATTAGGTCAACTTGTATAGTTCATTTCATCAGCAAATTTTATCCACGTCACATTGATTTCTTTTTTTTAGTTTGGAAAGATGTAGCAGTGGCCAAAAGAATAGTGAAATGTAATCCAAAGAGACAGCATCAAAAAACATTAATTCCTATACAATAATTTTGACATTTATTCACTGTTGAAAGTGGAAGTATTGTAAGTTTGTATCAAAGTGTTAATAATGCTTCTGATTTGTAATAAATTATAATACATATATATATTATATATCTATAGTTTTAATAATTTTATTCATCAGCACTGCTTTTCTACTGAACTTTTGTAACATTTCTTGCAGGAAGAGTTTGAGAACCTTCAGGTAGCTATTTACCCTCTGGAGGTTCTTTGATAATATACTTTTAACCCCTTAACTGTCCAAACGTAGATCTATGTTCTTAACACTAGCACTCCAAACGTAGATACTTTTTATTTTTCCTGCCTCCAAATTTGGCATGATTGGGCTGGTCAGTGTACAGTGTAGAATGGGTCTTAACACTCGGTGTGCGCAATATTAAAAAAAATCTGGGAGCACCAGTTCATTTGAGTGTCAGCTAGAGCAAATGGCATGGCAGACACCAGGGATTCACTGATGTCATGTCATTTTAACACTCCCCTTTTAAGAGGAAAGTGATGTTGACACTGAATTTAGTGGCTCCGAGATGGATGTGGCCACAAGTGGTTGAGGAAATATCAAAAACCTCAATAATAACCATGTGCAACATCCTTTCAATTTTGATGACATTGGTAGTGTCATCCTGCCAGGATGTTTTATAATCTATGCCTTAAGTGAAACTATTCTGGAATGTGTAATACATGTTTGGCAAGCCGGCTGGGTGTGTGGGTGTCTGATTGACTTTGGCTGTCTATCTCCATCTGTCTCTCTCACAGGTACACATTAATAGTTATTATGCATAGAATGGAATAGGAGGTAGGTTATTGAAAGCAGTGTAGAGTCTTTACGAGGATAGTGAGGCTCAGGTTAGAGTATGTAGGCGAAGGGAGATTATTTCCAAGTAAAAGTAGGCCTTAGATAGGGAGGTATGATGTCACCATGGTTGTTCATTATGATTATAATAATAATTGCTCACACTCCAGCAGCACATTCATAAAAACCCACTTGCCTCCAATCACTCTGATCTAACACATGCTTGCTGGATGTCTAAACCCTTTTCACACAAAACCTCCTTTACCCTGTCCTTCCAACCTTTCCTAGGACTACCTCTACCCAGTCTTCCCTCCATTAGATTTATATGCCCTCCAAGTCATCCTATTTTGTTACATCCTCTCTAAATGTCTGAACCATCTCAACAACCCCTCTTCAGGCCCTCTGATTAATACTTTTAGTAACCCTGCACCACCTAATCTGTAAGCTTTTGATTCTCTGCAATATTTACACTGCACATTGCCTTCATACACAGCATATCCACTGCCTCCAGCTTCCTCCTTGCTAGAAGAACATAAGAACATAATGGAGGAATATTGCAGTGGGCCTACTGGCCTATACAAGGCAGGTCGTTATCAAAACGATTTCTACCCAAAGCTTCCCAAGAATATCCTCCCATACCCAATGAAACCAATCAAACCCAGCCCCTCCTATTCATATATTTGTCCGATCTCTCTTTAAAGCTACCCAAGGTCCGAGCCTCGATCACCCTACTTGGGAGATTGTTTCATGCATCCATAACTGTTCACGAACCAGTACTTACCTATTTCCTTTCTAAATCTAAATTTATCCAACTTAAATCCATTATTTCTGGTTCTTACTGGGTTCGACACCCTCAGTACAGTGGAACCTCAAATATCGAACTTTCTTCATTCTAGACGGCTGTTCGAGTGCCATTACCAAATGAATTTATTCCTATCAGGAGTAATGTAAATTAGATTAGTTCATTTCAGACCCTCAAAAATACACTTATAAAAGCACTTACAAAAATACGTACACTTACCTAATTGGTCGAGCTGGGAGCAGTTTGATATTTGAGGTTCCACTGTACTTCATTAATATCGCCTTTGTTTATACCCATCAACCCACAAACAAGTGCACATACACTCAAGTATATAGGCAGGCCTTGCTTTACAGTGCTTCACTAATGCAGTGGGTTTCAATTATATCCATTTTTCATTTATTCAGACTTCCTAAGTTAAGCAATGCATGTAACTGTATATGCATTTTTTAGGCCTAGCTCTATTGCTCACTTAAGAGTGTAAACATGTTATAAGGCTTTTAAATACATTTGAAAGTGAAACAAGGCTATGTTTCACTTTACAGTGATTTTTGCTTTAGAGCAGTAGCCAGGAATCTAACCTGCTGTATAAGCAGAGCCTTCCTGTATGCATAACCAAATAACACCAATTTCCATAGTCATAAAAAACATGTAAACATCAGTTTTCAGTCTGTGTTCAGTATTGCTCTCCCACACCAGTGTCCAGCAGTAGTTGGCCATGAAACTGTCAGGTGTCCCTGATATATCTAATCCATGATGTCTATGTCTTGGTGAAATCTTTTCTGTTTCATAGAATCTGTAAGTGTTGGAACAAAACTTAGCTCAGATTTGAATTCAGCATCCCCCAAATTAGTTGGAAACAATGTTAAACACTACATGAAATCTTTGGTGGCCAATGTTATTACATTTATGGAGAGTGGTAAACCCATACAAGTCATAATTAAAATAGAACAAAAATAAATGAAACATTAATTTAAAATGTTATTCATCATTTATTATACACCACTCATTGCACTTACAGGGGAAAACGATAAATAAAATTAGCAACAACACTGAAGAGACAATGCAAAATTTTGAAATAACTTATAAAATGTTTTTATGTAATAAATAGAGGCAATGTGTTGGAATACACAGCATCCCATAACCTTTACTGAGGAGCAGTAGTGCACAAGGGAATAAATAACCCCTTCCCCTGCTTAAATGTACAAACAGCATGTATACACACACACATACACTAACTGAGGAAAAGAGCATTGGGCAAAAATTACAATATAAATATTATCTTAATAGCTTATTACATATGGTACGGGTATTTCAAGAAGATGGACCCAACCAACACGGCCTCATCATTAAATGTCGCCATAACACATGCCAGACAGTCATATGAGGGATTGCAAGTCCATTCTCTGTGCCAGCCACAGTCGTGTGATCCCTCATATGACTGTCTAATGTGTGTTAAGGTGACATTTAATCATGAGGCCATGCCGGTGGGTCCATCATTTTGAAGCACCCTGTATTTTCAATATGTATAGTTACAAGACGTCTAATAAGAAAATACATTACATACATTCATATGAAAGAAATGATCTGTGGAAAAATTACTAAGGACCACATTTGTAATAAAAATAAATAATGCATGTGATTATTGTGCATGCAAACAAGGAAAGGTAAAGTATCAAACATTCCATTAATGCAACAGTAATACATGTATAAATGTAGCACACAGTAAGTGTCTAACCTGAGTTGTAAAGCCATTTAAATATTACCTATGCCCAGTTACCCCCTTGATGACAGGGCCTTTACACTGTAGGGGATTACAATTTTTGCCTTCTGGGCGAGCTGCGACTCCCTCAGGATACACCTACCATCCGACTTATTACCTGCTCGACATACGACCACTCTACTTACGACCATGTTTTGTGTGCTAAATTTCTGGGAAATAAACAACCTTACAGTATAAAATACAGTACTAACAGCATAAAAAGTAAAGTGAAAAATGAAATGCCAAAATAAAACAATAAAATAAAATCTTTACAAAAAATGTGATGATATTCAGTAGTAAGGTTCGACTTGCATCCATAAATTCGGATGGTAGGTGTATTTGCTGTGCACTGCAACCCATAAATTCCTAGTTTCCTCCTGCCTGGAAGTTGAGCAGACACGTAGTCTACAATCTGCAGGTAGTCAACATGCTTCTTTGGTAGGAGGATAGAGGTAAAATGGGAGGTTCAGCATTTGCCCTGTGAATCAGTTGGCTGGTCTAGCAATTGGCTTTCCAAGCAAGCACCTATGAATGGGCACCACTTTGATCCTGTGGCTGCCACTTAGCTCACTGATGATACTTGCTATTGCAGTGTCTAATGATAATTTCCTGATGGTGCTGGGTATACAGCTGTTTTTAACGCCAGAAACATCACTAGTATTTCCACAACAGAGTGATATACAATTTTAATTGCTATCACCCACACTGTGACCATGTTCGCTTTGTCATTTTAATTCATTTCAGACTCTCAAAGTGCATTACCAGTTATCAGAAATTTTACTCTCCTCATTGTCTTTTGTATATAGCTTTGGTATGTCACATTTTTAGCGAGCATACAGAAGTTGTATTCCGCTGGGTCTGTGGACATGCTGATGTTCAGAGCAATGAACATGCAGGGCACTTTAAACAAAACAGAAAACTCAGCTGCTTGGTCAGGCATTCAAGACCAAATTTCCCACAGGGGTTATTGCTCACTCAGACTGTTTTTTAGTGCTTTCTAGTCACCATCCCTTCAAAGAAGGTTCCTTGATGCTGGTGAGGGGCTCTTGATCTAGGGAATTGGATCTGCTCCAGTTCCCTGAATACCTTCCACATCCCCCCCACAGGTGCTGTATAATCCTATGGGTTTAGCACTTCCCCTTGATTATTCTAGCCACCTTCACAACTGCTGACAAATTTTGGTCTGCAACAAATTGTTTTTTATCAAACCGCAATTAGAATTTTGGCCATTGCCTTTCCACTTATCAGGTCTGGGAGACCCCCTATACTCTTACCTATGTATGGGACACGTGACTCATGGATACCACATGGAGAAACAACCAGCACCACTGTGAGGTCTGGAAAGTCAGTGTCCATCCAACATTTATTAACAGAATGTCCTAACTATTAGTGCACACAGTACCCACTTCTGACAACCTAAACTGCTTCAGTACTTGCTGATGACCTTGCTGAAAGTCTCGCCTTTGACGAGACACTCAGTAACTAACTGAAACTAACCTATTGCACCAACTTTAATTTCAATTTTGTTTGCACTCTTTCCCTACCCCTACTAATCCCTAACTTGCACACCCTTGCCTATTGCTCATTTTTAACCTTGGCAAATGTCTACTTTCACACATCCCTCCCAGCAGGTTAAACAATTTAATTGTAATAAGATGCCAAGTTATAAGGAAAACAAATGGTTAGTGATAAATAAGTTATACTGTGTAACATTCACTGTAGTTTATAATTTTTTTTTTATCAACCAAAAACAATCAGATGCCTTTTTATTCCCTGTTCACTAATTTGCCCCATTTGTATTGTATCACAGGAAATAGCTTATTAATAATTTATGTACCACTGTGATCTAACTGCTACTGCTAATTAAAAAAATGGCTCATAGCAAATGTAATAAAAGAATCCTTACTGCTGTCTAGTTACAATTAGTGCATTTCCAAAAGGAAATTGTGCAATCACATCTACAAGCATTAATTTACAAAATACACAAGTAATTTGTTAGACCTATTTTATTTGTGCAGTAGTCCAGCAATGTGATTATTGAAATGATAATTGTAAAGGAGCACTTAAAGTGAAAACTATGGCAGTTCAACTTAACCTAACCTCTTCATGATAAAATGATATGCAAATTGTATAACTGTGCGTATTTCCTAAGAAGCAAACGAGATTTGAGCACACACTGGTTACACCTTTAAAATTTATAAATAATTGAAGTATTCTGCACCTAATTTATTAAACCCTATCTCAGCCTTATACCTTTGAGGATTTCTAAGTTTTTCTACTGAGTCCAGCCATGGGCCAGGCTAGCCTGGTGCTTTCATGGTCAACCAGGCTGTTACTGCTGGTGGTCCACTGACCACATATTCATCACAGCCTGGCTGATTAAGTTATTCATAATACTGCATAATCCATGTATGGTTGATCTCTTGACTAACTACAATAAGACTGTATATCTACAAATTATTTATGAAGTGTCATCTCGCCATGCTCTCTTAGCAGAGGCAAATGTCAAGAGAAAATTTAATTGGCAGAGAAACATCAGATTTTACTCGGGGGTGGGGGTTGTGCTGCATAGTTATTATGTCATGCATTTGTTGCATATTTAGGAACTACAGTAAATAAATTATAGACAAATGTGGAACTAGTAAAGAAAATTAAGAAAAATTTGCAGTAACATATGCAAATTTTGTAATTATGGTAGTGCATTAGGACCGTTATCTTAACTACTCTGAAATTATCAAAAACCTTCTTAAAATGATTTTATCTGATGAGCTACTGGAGCTCAACACATCAGGCAAATGTTTATAATTAAAAGCACATCTCCCATAAAATGTGTTTGACAAAGAGGATACTGTACTTAATACGTACAACCTCAGTTTTCGTATGCCCTAGTTGGGGAAAATTCTTCATAAAATGTATTTGTTGTTAATATTTTTGGATGTCTGGAAAGGAACCAATTAATCTGTTCCAGAGACCCAAAAATATAAACAAACATTACACTTTATTTAGAGAATTTTCGAAAACCGAGGTTCCACTGTATAGTATCCCTAGATTAGCTCCTTTGCCACTACAAATTTATAAACAATAAAATCCCTAAGTCACCATCACACATATATCCATTAAATTACTAAGATACTAAAAGCAAGGGACAGATACAAATGACATAGGGACATACTGTTGGCTTGATATGACCAGAACACACTTCTTGGAATGTGCAGTAACTATCAAGAGCTTAATTAAATTACAGATAATTATGTAATTAGAGTAATAATATAACTAGAGATGACTTAGTTCACTGCAGTCCATGTAATTAGTGTCAGTAAACGATGAGCGTTTTACACAGCAATAAACATCACAGCTTGTAGCTATCCTTCAATGGATAAAATACATAAAACAACTTTAAAAATTTAAAAAAAATTAATATAAAAACACTGGTTTTCAGTTTTTCACACATATCAGGAGATCAAATAAAGGTACCGGAGAGGATTCACTACAGTTCTACTGTAATCATTGATTTGAACCCATTCTATTGGGGGGGGGACTTCATTTGTCACTTGTCAAGTGGGTCTCTTATATAGCACATAGAAATATGCCCTTGCACTATAGTATTATCTTGCAACTAGCGTACCACACGGTAAATGATTAATAACACTAGTTTCCTCATACCACAGTAGAGTCACCTGAGCGTCCGGTCATCACTGTCTTGCTGCGAGGGTTATCACTAGGAAAGCAACTGTCATACAGCTTCAATCTTATTTACTGCACTGCATCCTAAAAGAGCATACGTTAGTTTCAAAACATCTCGCGCTTAAATTCAAACTTGTACTTAATGCACTTTTCTCTAAGAAGTCCCACTAGGGAGGGTGGACCACAGTAGAATACACAAACCTTTCCCACCCGTGATTCTCGAATCCCACCAAATACCTGTAAAGAAAATAAATCCATGAACAACTTTCTGTTTGCCTCTCATTTCAATAATGATCAATTTTTTTTTTTTTGACCAAAAAAAAAAAAAAAAAAGAGGTCCCAAAAAATAAATTAACTGTTCAAAGGAAAACACTATTTAAAAGGATGCTTTAAAATTATTAGTTACTGTTACAAAATTAATTATATAAATACAGTAATTATTAACTAAATTTACACAGTTTGAGGAAGTGCTAAAATACAACTAAACTTTTGGCAAATATTTTTATTCTATTTTTAATTATAGTGGAACCTCTACTATTCACAACTACGTACACTAAATATAAACTATCTTCACATCTGTATGGTGGGAAACTAGCTGTATTAGACAGGTAAAAGTGACAGTAGTTGCAATTATCATAAGAACATAAGAAAGAATGAACACTGCAGAAGACCTACTGGCCCATGCAAGGCAAGTCCAAGTCTCCTACCAGCTTAAGCCAATGCCCCAACCCAGTCAGGTCAGGTCACATTCACTTAAGGAAGGAACATGGCAACTGACCTAGTAGCACAAGCTAATCAAGTCCAACTCACACCCACCCACACACACTCGTGTATTTATCTAACCTATTTTTAAAACTACACAACGTTTCAGCCTCTAACTGTACTCGGGAGTTTGTTCCACTCATCCATAACTCTATTACCAAACCAGTGCTTTCCTATATCCTTCCTGAATCTGAATTTTTCCAACTTAAAACCACTGCTGCGAGTCCTGTCTAGTTAGATATTTTCAGCACTTTATTTACATCACCTTTATTTATTCCTGTCTTCCATTTATACACCTCAATCATATTCTCCCTAATTCTACGCCTTTCTAGAGTGCAGATTCAGGGCCCTTAGTCTATCCTCATAGGGAAGATTTCTGATACATGGGATCAACTTTGTCATCCTCCTTTGTACGTTTTCCAGTTTATTCCTGCCATAACTTCAGTACTCTAGTATGTGGCAATAATAGTAATTAAGAAACTATGCCACCTCCAGTGATGTGGCCAACCAGTTGATAAAGAAAGTCCTTCATGGAAACAAAGGACTCATTAAGGCCTCAACTAGGTCATGGAGGTGCACCTTATAATCCAGATGTGTAATGCAACAGTATAAATATTTATGTAAAAAGTTTATTCGTCATTTCAGTTATTACTGACAATTCTACACTAAATGGGTGTTGAGTGAAGATCAACCATTAACCAAGAAAGAACACTGGCAGACAGTAGATGCTTAACTACAATAATGAGAATAAAATCTAAGAATCCTTCAACTAAAAAACTTAGTAAATGCAGTACCTTATCCCAATCTGGTCTTCCAGCCCTGATGGAAGATGCTAATGGCAGTGTGGGACTGAGAGGCGCTACACCTGTCTTATAAAGGTGGAGACTGAGAAAGGTTTCCATGGCTGCCCCAATAACGCGTTGCTCACTTTCAAGATCTGCTAGGACTTCCAGGAACCACTCGAAACTCCCAATGTCACGGTTCACCCACACAAAATCCACCTGTGGTTCAAAGATGGAAAGAAAAGTCAAATTCAAGTGAAGAATCAGGTTCAGGCATATACATGCCCTGTGCATCAGGACATGTGTGCATGCACATGCCTTGTGCATCAGAATGCATTTAGGGTGTGTGTGCATGCACAGACTTAACTTGTGAATCAGGGTATTTGTATATTTAGGGTAGGAATACATGTGCACACGCACGCACATGCACAAACACGCACACACACATGCGCACACACGTGCACACGTGCGCACACACATGGACACACACACACATGCGTGCACGCACGCACACATCTCCCCGTGGGTCCTTAGAGAGGGAGCAGATATGTTGTGCGTGCCACTTACCACAATCTTCAACACGTCCCTGGAAACTGGGCAACTACCTGAGGTATGGAAGACGGCAAATGTAGTTCCCATTTTTAAAAAAGGAGACAGAAAAGAGGCACTAAACTATAGACCTGTGTCATTGACGTGTATAGTATGCAAAATTATGGAGAAGATTATCAGGAGGAGAGTGGTGGAGCACATGGAACAGAACAAGAGTATAAATGCCAACCAGCACGGATTCACGGAAGGCAAATCCTGTGTCACAAACCTTCTGGAGTTTTATGATAAAATAACAGAAGTAAGACATGAGAGAGAGGGGTGGGTTGATTGCATCTTCTTGGACTGCAAGAAGGCCTTTGACACAGTTCCTCACAAGAGATTAGTGCAGAAGCTAGAGCATCAGGCGCATATAACAGGAAGGGCACTGCAATGGATCAGAGAATACCTGACAGGGAGGCAACAACGAGTCATGGTACGTAATGATGTATCACAGTGGGCACCTGTGACAAGCGGGGTCCCACAGGGGTCGGTCCTAGGACCAGTGCTATTTTTGGTATATGTGAACAACATGACGGAAGGGTTAGACTCAGAAGTGTCCCTGTTTGCAGATGATGTGAAGTTAATGAGGAGAATTAAATCTGATGAGGACCAGGCAGGACTTCAAAGAGACCTGGACAGACTGGACACCTGGTCCAGCAAATGGCTTCTCGAATTTAATCCTGCCAAATGCAAAGTCATGAAGATAGGGGAAGGGCACAGAAGACCACAGACAGAGTATAGGCTAGGTGGCCAAAGACTGCAAACCTCACTCAAGGAGAAAGATCTTGGGGTGAGTATAACACCGAGCATGTCTCCGGAAGCACACATCAATCAGATAACTGCTGCAGCATATGGGCGCCTGGCAAACCTGAGAACAGCATTCCGATACCTTAATAGGGAATCATTCAAGACACTGTACACCGTGTATGTCAGGCCCATACTGGAGTATGCAGCACCTGTTTGGAACCCGCACTTGATAAAGCACGTCAAGAAACTAGAGAAAGTACAAAGGTTTGCCACAAGGTTAGTTCCAGAGCTAAGGGGAATGTCCTATGAAGAAAGATTAAGGGAAATCGGCCTGACGACACTGGAGGACAGGAGGGTCAGGGGAGACATGATAACGACATATAAAATACTGCGTGGAATAGACAAGGTGGACAAAGACAGGATGTTCCAGGGGGGACACAGAAACAAGAGGCCACAATTGGAAGTTGAAGACACAAATGAGTCAGAGAGATTGTAGGAAGTATTTCTTCAGTCATAGAGTTGTAAGGCAGTGGAATAGCCTAGAAAATGACGTAGTGGAGGCAGGAACCATACACAGTTTTAAGACGAGGTTTGATAAAGCTCATGGAGCGGGGAGAGAGAGGGCCCAGTAGCAACCGGTGAAGAGGTGGGGCCAGGAGCTAAGACTCGACCCCTGCAACCACAAATAGGTGAGTACAAATAGGTGAGTACACACACATGCACACACATGCGCACACACACACACACACACGCACACAGTGTCGGCCTGATGACACTGGAGGACAGGAGAGTTAGGGGAGACATGATAACGACATACAAAATACTGCGTGAAACAGACAAGGTGGACAGAGACAGGCTGTTCTAGAGAGGGGACACAGAAACAAGGGGTCGCAATTGGAAGCTGAAGACTCAGACGAGTCAAAGGGATGTTAGGAAGTATTTCTTCACTCAGAGTAGTCAGGAAGTGGAATAGTCTAGCAAGTGAGGGAGTGGAGGCAAGAACCATGCATAGCTTTAAGATGAGGTATGATAAAGCTCATGGAGCAGGGAGAGAGCCTAATAGTGCTCAACGATGAGGCAGGGCCAGGAGCTGAATCTCAACCCCTGCAACCACAATTAGGAGAGTACAATTAGGCGAGTATACACATACGCACTCCCAGTACATTTCGATATGCATATTTAAGGTAGGTGTGTATACACGTACATGATATGTATAGGCTCATTCAGGCATATACGTATGTACTACCAAATGATACAACACTTCATAAAATTAACTTAACATGGTTCGGTTTGCAGGAGGGGAAAAAATTCGGAGCGTTGCCCGTGGGATATTTAGTGTAGGCTGGTTCCACAGCTTTAAGTTATATAATACAGTGGACCCCCGCTTTACGATCAGCTCCCAATGCGACCAATTATGTAAGTGTATTTATGTAAGTGCATTTGTACGTGTATGTTTGGGGGTCTGAAATGGACTAATCTATTTCACAATAGTCCTTATGGGAACAAATTCGTTCAGTACTGGCACCTAAACATATTTCTGGAATGAAATAATATCGTAAACCGGGGTCCACTGTATTAAGTTTTCTGGTGAAAGCGCTTCAGCTGATCATACAGCAGCAAGTAATTTCCCTGCTGAATTGCTGGAAAATATTTCCAAGGGTGGCTATGAGCCACATCAAGTGTTTAATGCTGACAAGATGTGTGTTTTTTGAAAGAAAATGCCAACACGAACTTATATCAGTCAGCATGAAAGAAAAGTGCACTGGGCTTCAAGGCAGCAAAGAATCGCTTCACCTTGCTCCTTTGCAGTAATGCATTAGGTGATTTCAATTGTAAGCCCATGGTTATTTACCACTAAGAATCTTAGTGCTTTAAAAGGTGAAGATAAAAACACCTTACCAGTAATTTGGAGGTCAAATCAGTCAGCATGGATGACGAGAGGAAATATTTATTGACTGGTTTAAGCATCACTTTATTCCTGAAGTCAAGCTTTACCTGCACAGCAAGAGCCTTGCATTCAAGGCTCTCTTCATTCTTGATAATTCCCGTACTCATCCACAAGCTTTGCTGGATGTGACCCCACATGTAAAAGTTGAATTTTTACCTCCAAATACAACATCTGTAATACAACCACTGGATTGGGGAGTTAAGTCATTCAAGTGTAACTGTACAAAAGAAAGTTATGAAAAACTAGTTGCATCAATGGACTCTTGACTCGAACCTGGCAGTACCAAGTTCCTGGAATAAATTTAACATTGCAGATGCCATCAGTTATGCTAGAAGTGCCCCAAGCAACATTAAATGCAGGCTGGGAAAAGTTATGGCCTTCTGTAGTTAATTTTCACTGTTTTTCCCTTGCTTGAGAGTCGGGTTCAGGAAATTTTTCAGCTGGCAAGGAGGTTACCAGGTGATGGTTTTGAAGATATGAATGAAGATGATGTGAATGAGCTCTTAGTAGATGACGATGATGAAGACAGGAGTCCATAGGAAATGATGGCAGAGATCAATGCACAGATACAAGGGAGCCACATAACAGAAGATGAAGAACCTGAAGAAAAATAGTTAGCATTGCAGCAGTTACATGAGCAGTTCCATATTATTGGTAAAGTTGCAGACTTTTTCACTGAAGAGGACCCTGACAAATCTAGAAGCAGTGCTTTGAAATGGGGTCTAGACCAGCTGACGATGCCTTACCGTCAGCTGTATAATGTATTGCAGGGTAAAAGAGTCCAGAGATCCATTACAGAATTTATGCACACTCCAATACAACCATCAACTTTAGTACCAGAACCTCTACCATCCAATTCAGCCACCAACCAACAACCATACACCTCGGCCCAGCAGGGCCAAACCATGCATCTCACTCTCTTCACAATCATTCACAAATGCCAGCACCTACAATTAAAGGTAAGAAATACTATCATTTCTCTTCCATTTGTAGTCTTAAGCAATAAAAACATAATATATCACAACAATGAACTACAATTACATATTCAGTTTTATTTTTGTAAGATCTGTTGGTCTAAAAAAAGTTGTTTGGTTTTTATTGGGGGGTGCTCCCAAGAATGTAACACTATTTTTCCCAAAAGTTCTTCACTTTATCTAACGTGGTTTTACCTAACACGACATTTTCAGGAACGTAACTACCGTGTAATATAACGGTCTACTGTACATAAATGACTGCCAGGTCATGGGAAATTTAAGAATTTGGGGGACTTACTTTCCTGAGTTTCCTTAGAGTGGAGGGGAGTGCGAGGCAGCTCGGGACTTGACAATATGGGCAGGGAGCCTTGGCTGCCCGATATCTGTAAGAGAGATCACTTTTGTCACACACAGATGATGGATCTTAATTGTAATTATAATAATAATGATAATTTTATTTTATTATGATACATGTTTGTACAAAGGAGTGTAACAGTTGGGTGAACATACCAAAAGCCCCTTTATATGCAGAGCATTTTGGGCAAACTTAAGACTAACATAAAATTAATAATGCAATAACGTTTTTTTTTTTTTTAATAAGTCGGCTGTCTCCCACTGAGGCAGGGTGACCCAAAAAGAAAGAAAATCCCCAAAAAGAAAATACTTTCATCATCATTCAACACTTTCACCTCACTCACACATAATCACTGTTTTTGGAGAGGTGCCAAGAATACAACAGCTTAGAAGCATATACATATAAAGATACACAACATATCCCTCCAAACTTCCAATATCCCGAACCCCTCCTTTAAAGTGCAGGCATTGTACTTCTCATTTCCAGGACTCAAGTCCGGCTATGTAAAAATAACCGGTTTCCCTGAATCGCTTCACTAAATATTACCCTGCTCACACTCCAACAGCTCGTCAGGTCCCAAATACCATTCGTCTCCATTCACTCCTATCAAACACGCTCACGCACGCTTGCTGGAAGTCCAAGCCCCTCGCCTACAAAACCTCCTTAACCCCCTCCTTCCAACCTTTTCAAGGATGACCCCTACCCAGTCTTCCTTCCCCTACAGATTTATACACTCTCCATGTCACTTTGATCCATTCTCTCTAAATGACCAAACCACCTCAACAACCCCTCTTCAGCCCTCTGACTAATACTTTTATTAACTCCACACCTTCTCCTAATTTCCACACTCTGAATTTTCTGCATAATATTTACACCACACATTGCCCTTAGACAGCACATCTCTACTGCTTCCAACCGCCTCCTCGCTGCTGCATTTACAACCCAAGCTTCACACCCATATAAGTGTGTTAGTACTATAATTTCATATATTCCCTTCTTTCCTCCATAGATAACGTTTTTTGTCTCCACATATACCTTAAAGCACCACTCGCCTTTTTTCCTCATCAATTCTATGATTAACCTCATCCTTCATAAATCCATCCGCCGACATGTCAACTCCCAAATATCTGAAAACATTCACTTCTTCCATACTCCTCCTCCCCAATTTGATATCCAATTTTTCTTTATCTAAATCATTTGATACCCTCATCACCTTACTCTTTTCTATGTTCACTTTCAACTTTCTACCTTTACACACACTCCCAAACTTGTCCACTAACCTTTGCAATTTTTCTTTTGAATCTCCCATAAGCACAGTATCATCAGCAAAAAGTAACCGTGTCAATTCCCATTTTGTATTTGATTCCCCATAATTTAATCCAAACCCTCTCCCGAACACCCTAGCATTTACTTCTTTTACAACAGTGTTGTCATTTGGCGAGTTACAATGAATACCAGAAAATTGAATACATTCTATTAGTTCACTCAATATGGCTTTAATAAGTTAGGTAGAGAAGAATTGCAGTTTTGATATAGTATATAAAAAATGCAGTAGGTATTACAACTTAGCACAATTTAAAACAATGAAGTTGAAACAATTTTAAGTTTGAAGTAAATGATCAAATAGTTGAGCAATCATAACTTATTTAGGAGTTTTTCGAGTAATTGGTAGGTGTTAAGTATAAGTGTTTGTCTGGTTAATTTTGGGTGATGAGGCAATTTCTAAGTAGGGCCTTAAACTGATTTTCAGGCAGGGACCCTTAAGTGTGTTCCAGCAATGAATTCCAGATCTTTGGGCCCTTTATATGCATAGCATTTTTGCATAGGAAGAGATGGACACGAGGGATGTTGAACAGTGATTTGTGCGTTGTGTTATGCCTGTGTGTTCTGTTGTAGTTATCAAAGAGTTTGAGAGGAGGGTAAATATCCGAGTATTACGTTCTGCGTGTGTAGTGGGCACAATAACAAGTGTGGACGTTTTGTATATTAAGCAAATTAAGGCTGTTAAAAAGCTGTGGAGTGTGTTGTCTAGTGCAGGAGTTGGTAATCAATCACACAGCAGCTTTTTGTTGGGTTATTAAAGGTTTAAGGTGATTTGCTATGGTTGAGCCCCATGCACAAATACCATAGGTGAGGCAAGGGTAAATGAGAGAATGATAAATATCAAGAGCTGTTTGGGGTACTTTGTACCATATCTTTGAAAAGATGCCTACTGTTTTGGAGACTTTCTTGCATATTTGCTGTATGTGGGGTCTGGAATTTGAGATTGCAATCAAGGTGAAGACCTAGAAATTTGCCCTCTGTGTCTTGAAATGGGTGAACAATTTATCAATATGTTTAGCTGTACATCTAAAGCTGTTTCCAAATACGTAACATGAATTAGGTTTTGTCTATATTGAGAGCAAGTTTATTAGTAGTTGTCCAAGTAGATATTTTTAGTAGTTTGTCATTTACAGTATCTGTTAGTATACTAGTTGGGTTTGGGTGAGAGAAGACCTAAGTAGTGTCTTCTGCAAATAAAACGGGTTTAAGGAGTTTAGATATGTTTGGGAGGTCACTGATGTAAATGAGAGAGAAGTGGGCCAAGGACACTACCCTGTGGGATTCCAACAAGAACAGGTTGTGTAGTGGAGTTAATGCCATTTGTGTATACATACTGGTTTCTATTGCTAATAGGTAATCAAGAGTGTCCTCTACCCTGTAATGCTTTAGGTGCAATAGGTCATGGTCAACTGTATCATATGCTTTTGCTTGGAGTTGAAATGTAAAATACTTAAGGAACAATTTCATTGAAACAAGACATAGGCAAAAAATAAAAATCTCCAAAATATGTAGAGCAACAATAAACTTTTTGTAGGACAACAGAATTAAGAATACTGCAGAGTACTCACCTCATCATAACACTTTGAAGGATGGAAGCAAAGGGTGTTACTCCAATCCCAGCACCCACCAAGACCGCATGGGTTACTGAGAATATTCTTGTGGAAGGTGTGCCATATGGGCCATCTACATGTACCTTCAGTTATGGAAAAAAAAATGAACAGGGAGAATAAGCAATAATGACTATTTTTCAACCCTCTTATACAGTCTGCTAATATACCTGTATACATATAACAATACTAAGACTAGCAGGGGATCAAACCACTGATATCTTTGAGCCTGCCAGATCCAAATCTTGTATAATTCTGACTTTAAAAACGTTTACCTGGAGAGAATTCCAGGGGTCAACGCCCCCACGGCCCAGTCTGTGACCAGGCCTCATGGTGGATCAGGGCCTGATCAACCAGGCTGTTACTGCTGGCTGCACGCAATCCAACGTACAAACCACAGCCCAGCTGGTCAGGTACTGACTTTGAGTGCTTGTCCAGTGCCTGCTTGAAGACAGCCAGGGGTCTATTGGTAATCCCCCTTATGTATGCTGGGAGGCAGTTGAACAGTCTTGGACCCCTGACACTTATTGTGTTGTCTCTTAATGTGCTAGTGACACCCCTGCTTTTCATTGGGGGGGATGTTGCATCGTCTGACGAGTCTTTTGCTTTCGTAGGGAGTGATTTTCGTGTGCAAATTTGGTACTAGTTCCTCTAGGATTTTCCAGGTGTATATAATCTTGCATCTTTCCCGCCTGCATTCCAGGGAGTACAGGTTCAGGAACTTCAAGCACTCCCAGTAATTGAGGTGTTTTATCTCAGTTATGCATGCCGTGAAGGTTCTCTGTACATTTTCTAGGTCAGCAATTTCACCTGCCTTGAAAGGTGCTGTTAGTGTGCAGCAATATTCCAGCCTAGATAGAACAAGCAACCTGAAGAGTGTCATCATGGGCTTGGCATCCCTAGTTTTGAAGGTTCTCATTATCCATCCTGTCATTTTTTTTTAGCAGATGCGATTGATACAATGTTATGGTCCTTGAAGGCGAGATTCTCGGATGTGATCACTCCCAGGTCTTTGACATTAATTTTTCACTCTGTTGTATGGTTGGAATTTGTTTTATACTCTGAAGTTTTAATTTCCTCACGTTACCATATTGGAGTAATTGAAATTTCTCATCTTTGAATTTCATATTGTTTTCTGCAGCCCAATGAAAGATTTGGTTGATGTCTGCCTGGAGCCTTGCAGTGTCTGCAATGGAAGACACTGTCATGCAGATTCAGGTGTCATCTGCAAAGGAAGACACGGTGCTGTGGCTTACATCTCTGTCTACGTCAGATATGAGGATGAGGAACAAGATGGGAGCAAGTACTGTGCCTTGCAGAACAGAGCTTTTCACCGTAGCCGCCTCAGACTTTACTCTGTTGACTACTTCTCGTTGTGTTCTGTTTGTCAGGAAATTATAGATCCATCTACCAACTTTTCCTGTTATTCCTTTAGCACGCATTTTGTGCGCTATTATGCCATGGTCACACTTGTCGAAGGCTTTTGCAAAGTCTGTGTATATTACATCTGCATTCTTTTTGTCTTCTAGTGCATCTAGGACTTTGTCGTAGTGATCCAGTAGTTGGGACAGACAGGAGCGACCTGCTCTAAACCCATGCTGCCCTGGGTTGTGTAATTGATGGGTATCTAGATGGGTGGCAATCTTGCTTCTTAGGATGTTAGCGCTATCGGTCTGTAGTTCTTTGCTATTGCTTTACTGCCCCCTTTGTGGAGTGGGGCTATGTCTGTTGTTTTTAGTAACTGTGGGGCGACCCCAGTGTCCATGCTCCCTCTCCATAGGATGTTAAAAGCATGCGATAGGAGCTTCTTGCAGTTCTTGATGAACATGGAGTTCCACAAGTCTGGCCCTGGGGCAGAGTGCATGGGCATATCATTTATCGCCTGTTCGAAGTCATTTGGCATCAGGATAACGTCAGATAGGCTTGTGTTTACCAAATTCTGTGGCTCTCTCAAATTCATTTAGATCTCCTGCTCTCAGTCTCGTTAGCGGCTTGCTAAAAACTCATTTCCTTGCTGTCATCTGTGTAGGACTCATCTTGTTTAACCATTAAACTGTCCAAACGTAGATCTACGTTTTTTTCAACATTTGAAAGTATGTAAAAAAGTATATCTTTTCTTTTATTACATTTGAAAACGTGTAAAAATAACTTTGATAGTTTTTTTTTTTTTTGTTATATTTGAAAATAAGTAAAAAAAAAAAAGGAAAGCTACTTTTGCAGCACTACGCATGTGAACATAGATCTGCTTGGACAGTTTAAGGGGGAAGGAGGGGCCCAATACTGAATGTTGTTCTCGACTTTGATTTGGCATAAGAAAAGAAATACTTTGAGTTTCTTTTGATTTCATTTATGGCTTTACGTTCTTCCCGCGATTCCTGACTCTTATATGATTCCTTTAGCTTTAGTTCGATGTTTGCTATTTCTCTGACCAGTGTCTCCCTATGCATTGCAGATATATTGGCCTCTTTTAGCCGCTCTGTTATTCTTTTCCGTCGCCTGTAAAGGGAGCGCCTGTCTCTTTCTATTTTACATCTACTCCTTTTTCTTAAAGGAATATGCCTTGATCATACATCAAGTGCCACAGAGTTAATCTGTTCTAGGCATAAGTTGGGGTCTGTGTTGCTTAGGCTATCTTCCCAGCTTATACCATTTAGGACTTGGTTTACTTGGTCCCACTTTATGTTCTTGTTATTGAAGTTGAATTTGGTGAAGACTCCCTCACGACTGATCACATTTTGTCAGTCTGGGGCTCCACGCATACATGTCTGAACCTCGATTATGTTGTGATCTGAGTACTTTGTTTTTGATATGGTGACATTCTGTATTAGATCATCATTGTTAGTGAAGATGAGGTCCAGTGTATTTTCCAATCTAATAGGCTCTATTATTTGCTGGTTTAAGGTGAATTTTGTGCAGAGATTTAAAAGCTCATGTGTGTATGAATTCTCATCTGAGCTGCCTCCTGGTGTTATCACTGCAATGTACCACTCATTTATATATAACAGCTGTATAGTCAGGCCTATGAATTCGTGGGGTTATGTTCTTAAAGGTCTTGGCAAATCCAGAAACTGAATAATACCATTAATGCTACCTCATTAATGAATTTTGTTACATGTCTGTACTCAGCTCTCCAAAACTGCTGGAGAGAGATCAATATAGTGAGGAAGCCTAGAGAGCAAATGGGTCTTGTTGTTAAAGATGAAAGAGGGATGATGTTAGATTGGGAGGTAGAAGTACAGGAAAGATGGAGAGAATATTTTAACAAGTTGTTTAATGTTAATGAAGGAAAGGGCAGTGCTTGCACTATGAAGGAGGGATGGGGAAGTTGCAGAGAAATCTAAATTGTGATATCAGCATGCTGTGAGAAGAGTGACTGAATGATGGTGAATGTATTTCCTTTTAATGGGTCACCCTGCTTTGATGGAAGATTGTCAATGAGGGGGAAAAAAAAAGTACTAATGTTTCAGAGGTCATCTCTCCAATCTTTCCGTAATATCACTATAGTATATTACTGGCATTTAAATGATAAAAATAACATCCATTAGGATAGAGTATGAGTTTAGGTAATCCAGTGAATCCATTTTCACTGAGACCCCATTGGATTTCATGTGCCAGGCCTAAACAATTTTATTTTTCAATGCACCAGCCGTATCCCACCAAGGCAGGGTGGCCCAAAAAGAAAAACAAAGTACATACAGTGGACCCTCGCATAACGATATTATTTCAATCCAGAAGTCTGTTTGGGTGCCGTTATAGACCGAATTTGTTCCCATAAGCGATATTGTGAATTAGATTAGTCCGTTTCAGACCCCTAAAAATACACCTACAAAAGCACTTACAAAAATACACTTACATAATTGGTCGAGTTGGGAGCTGATCGTTATGCGGGGGTCCACTGTATCTTTTAAACTTTAGTAATGTATACAGGGAAAGGGGTTACTAGCCGCTTGCTCTGGGCATTTTAGTTGCCTCTTATGACACGCAGGGCTTACAGAGGAAGAATTCTGTTCCACTTCCCCATGGAGACCAGAACAAACAAACAAGAACTAGTAAGAAAATAGAAGAAAACCCAGAGGGATATGTATATATATGCTTGTACAAGCAAGTGGAGTGTGACCTAAGTGTCAGCAGAAGTAGCAAGATGTACCTGAAATCTTGCATTAAACAAAATATACTCACTAATAAAAATATTACCAGAAATAATGACAATATCTACACTAGTAATTAGTCCAATTTACAGTATTATTCTACTAAACCATTTTAGATATAAAACGTTGCTGATATAAACTTGAAACGTTTCAACTTCTTCTTTCAACAAACCGGCAGTATCCCACCGAGGCAGGGTGGCCCAAAAAGAAAAACAAAAGTTTCTCTTTTTAAATTTAGTAATTTATACAGGAGAAGGGGTTACTAGGCCCTTGCTCCCAGCATTTTAGTCGCCTCTTACAACACGCATGGCTTACGGAGGAAGAATTCTGTTCCACTTCCCCGTGGAGATAAGAGGAAATAAACAAGAACAAGAACTAGAAATAAAATAGCAGAAAACTGAGGGGTGTGTATATATATGCTTGTACATGTATGTGTAGTGTGACCTAAGTGTAAGTAGAAGTAGCAAGACGTACCTGAAATCTTGCATGTTTATGAGACAGCAAAAAGGACACCAGCAATCCTACCATCATGTAAAACAATTACAGGCTTTTGTTTTACAGTCACTTGGCAGGACGGTAGTACCTCCCTGGGTGGTTGCTGTCTACCAACCTACTACCTAGGAAACTTGACACTATCATTATAACTTTGTTACTACCATGCATCATTGTAAATTTGCTATTGTTTCCAATTTCCTAAGTCTCTAACAACTTGCTATGTACTATCATGCATAATATTGTACACATTACACATTATTAAATATTAAAAAGCACAAAACAACTGTCACTCACGAGTCGGTGAAGGGGGTTCAATTAAATTATTAAATTTAAGAGAATTCTCGGTTTGACTTACTTCGATTTTTTTGTGTACAGACTGGACATGAAGCTTGTGTGTTGCTAAGGGCTGCCTTAATCTGTTCTCTTCATTCTTTCTTTGGTATTGATTACATTGTTGGTGCTGTAAGGTGACAGAGCACTGCTGATCACTGAGGGAGTCTAGACTAGAATTGCTGCCATTTAGGGACGAGTGGCCAGAGTCTGTCGTTACTGCCTGGAGCCCCATTAATTCTGCTTTCAGGGCTGCCAAGTCAGATAAGCTCGAGGACTTCTTACGTTCTATGGGCTTCTGTGACACTGGGGATTTTAAAATAACCGGGATGATAGGTGGCTTTTGCTCAGCTTCTACATTCAAGAGTGCTGCTGGTCGAGAGTACACACTCATTTTGCGGTTAAATTCCTGAAGGTTGTTAACGTAACGATGACCCTTCCCAGCGATGCCATCGCTCTCGCCCTCCACCTCAATGGCAGTATCACCCGTTGTTTCCGTTTCTCTATCAGAGGTAAAGGCAGGGTTCAATATGCCCGAGATTTCATTCTTGTGGTTCTCTGATGTATCTTTTCCATCTGTTTCTGTCTTGTCATTGATGAACATTTCATAAACTCTCTTGGTCCATTCTCCAACAGAACGAATGTGAACAGTGAAGACATCTGTAAAAAAAGACCAGAGATACTGCCAATTATAATTTGTCTTATCTACAGTGGTATATTACAAACTGTTCTGGAAAAATACCTTGACTTTCCTCACTGTAAATAGTGCATTACCACACTGTGTGTGTGTGTGTGTGTGTGTGTGTATTCACCTATTGCAGGGGTCAAGTCACAGCTCCTGGCCCTGAGCATGCGTGTGTGCATGTGAGCTTGTATGTCCTAAGTAATGTTTGCACAAATAACTCATTACAACTGTGACAAGATATAAATATGTGAACAGTTCATTACCTTTGTAACTTGTTCAGCTATGAAAACTCTGCAGCTCAGTCCCTGGACCCAATATGTATCTCTGTAATCTTTTGATTACCACCCATATGATGAGTAAACTTGAAGATTTGAAGTCAATCAAATGAGGCATTTACAAGTATTCACATAGAATCTGGCACTTTCCAATTTTAATAAAAGTGGAAAATTGACACCTTCATAGACAAACTAATTTTCATCTTCCATCCAGGAACACCAGCTTTAAAAGTTTAATTCCAACCAGAAAAGATATTCTCCAGTTATCCCATAAACACCAACACAGGTTTGAAGCTGCTGCATTCTCACGTTATTAGTGGAGGAGGTTAGACGCTGATCGAATGAGGCATTCACAGGTTATTGCATGAAAACCATATTTCAATTTCCCAATTTCAATACAAATGGCAAATTGGTAACTACACACCCCAAAATCAATCCAAACCTTTCTCTAAGATACACCAGTGTTTAAGTTTTGAAGCTGATCAAAAGAAGCATTCTCCAGTTATTTCATGGAAAACAATTTACTTAATAAAATTGACAAATTAAAACTTACACAGCCCAAATCAATGCAAACCTTCCTTTGAGCAAAGTCTACTATCATGGAAAGTTTAAAGCCAATCAGGAGAGGCATTCCCCAGTTATTGCTTACAATCCAACAATTCCAACTGTATAATGTGTGTTAATAAATTGGTATATTTGCATCTACACAACCTAAACTTAGAGGTCATTATCCTATCCATAAGATACATCACCATTAATGGTTGAAGCTGTTGCTGTAGCTATTTAATGAAAATAAACCATTTTAAAAAAATAAAATTTACATCTACACAGTAATAACAATCCCAACATTCTTTTAAGATACAATAGTACAGTGAAGCTGATCAGAAGAGGCTTTCTCAAGTTACTGCATATTATTATTAAGGGGGAATGCTAAATCCATAGGATTATGCAGTGCCTTGGGGGATGGGGAGGATGTGGAAGGTATTCAGGCTTAATTCAGGGAACCAGAGCACAGATCCAATTCCCTAGAGCAAGAGCCCCTCACCACCGTCAAAAATCCAAGAATGGGAATGGTCTACATAACATTGAAGAGAGGGCATCTGGGCATGCCAATAGTTTCATTAACCTTTGTCTTATTGCAGTAAACCAGCGTAGAAAATTCTGAGTCAAATGAAAACCTCATATGAAAAGAGAAAAATTTTGCCAACCACTTAACTAGATAATATGCCACCCACATAAATAAACTACTAAAACACTATTACTTTATATGATCAATACATGTACATGTATATATATTCCCTTCAAGATACACAAAGTTGTAGGAAATATAAGAGAAGTTTGTGATTCCCCGTGGGCGCACCTTCTTGCTCGGGGGCAGAGGATATGGTAAAGGGATGCCACTCATAGCGGGCGATGCTGGGGATGTTGAGGAACACATACTCTCCTGGTTGGAAGTCGAAGTCCTTGGGTCGTCTAATGAGTACCTTCATAACCTATCCCACAAGGAAATGAACACAAATTAGTCAAGTTTCAAGTACAGTACTGTGTATGGTAAACTAAAAATGCATTATACAGTAGGAACCCCGTATCCGCAAGGGATATGTTCCAAGGACCTACTGTGGATACCCAAACTGTAGATAATAGCAAACCCTATATGTAAGTCCTATACATACCTATTATAAAGTTTAACTGATAAATTATGCACAATAAGTAGAGAATTCTCTTTTTCACTGATGGGAAACACTTCACGGCTTCTCTTAGGCTTTGAAGAACTGCCAGTTTCTCTACTCTTGCACTCTGGGGGCCATCATTATGCAAAATTAAGTTTTTTTTTGGGGGGGGGTTACAGTAAACCGTGGATAACAAACTGCGGATACCAAATTAGTGGATACGGGTTCTACTATATACATTCCAGTAGAGTAAATAATTTTTGGTATGTCAATTCATTCAAAATGTAAACCACAAAATACTTTATTCAAATTTAAATTATATCCAGAGCCAAAGTCATAATTTCTACTGCCACCAGTTTCATTCATTCTTACCATTTCTGTTACCATTAACTGTAGGGAGAAAGGCAAAGAAGTACTTAAAAAAAGTGAATACTGTAATACCACTGACAAGTGTGGAGTGGGAGATGGCAGCTTACCTGTGAGGGAAGCTTGGTTCCCGAGATAGTGCGGGTCTGGCCTTTAGCGGTGCACACCTGTAACACTCTAAGGCAGGTTTCCAGCAGGAAGGCAGTGCCTGGCAGTAGTAGCCACTTCCAGAAGTTTGGTCCATGAAGAATGAGGAACACCCAGAAGGGAAGCGAGAGCAGGTGCGTCCAATAGAATACCTGAGGGAAAAGGCACTGCTGCAGGTAGGTTTCAACAAGAAAATGTTGGTTTGCGTAGTTTCAGATAGTGGGAGAATTTATGCAAAACAATGTCTAAATTGTTTGGAAATATTTATAAAAATAATCAAACTCTTTACAAACATTAGTGGTCTTTAAATCCACAAAGTTTTATTGTGCAATAAAATTGTTAATTATCTGTAAAAAAGATTTCATATGTCCCGTAGAAAAAAGAAACCATTTTGAATACTGTACAGTATACATCAAAATTACACAATCTCATCCCTTCTTAATTGTATACTGTACTGTAGTTTCAAGAGAGCTTTATGCCTCTGAAGACCTATCATCGTTCCTTGGATCAAACCCAATTACTTCCCATTCATCAAGCGCTGTACGGCCCCCTCTGAGTTTAGCGCTTTCACATGAATGTAATAATAGTACTAATAATAATACATAATTCTCTGAATATAGGTAACACTCATCACAGAGATCTGAACCAGGGTTTCCAGTGTGGAAATGTCACATTACCAACCACAATAAAAAATATAATACAACTTTTCATTGCATACTATTCTTTATCTGGCCTGAGGCCAGGTTTTTCTGCTTATACCCTGTTCATCCAAGCTGTTTTGTTGGCAGGTAGAAGGACCAAACAGCCATAACTTGGCTGGTCTGGTACTTAAAGGAAGCTATTTAGCTTCCTTTAAGTTATTCCTTTCAGAGGTTTGACCATTAAGTTGAGTTGTCACCCAGCTACGACTGGATTCTTATAATTTGGAAAAAAAGCTAAACCCATAGGTCATACAGCGCAGGGATGGGGAGGGAAGAATAGGAGGTAATCAGGTTAAATTCAATGAAAGGGAGGATAGATCCATTTCCTTGCATCAGGAGCCCCTCACCTGAAACAAGGCACCTCCCTTGAAGGAGCTACAATCTAAATTATGTAGTTTGCAGTCTTACTGAAACTGTGTCTTTCAACTCAACGGTTATTTACTGCCAAGACAGTAATGCAGAGAAGAAAACATTCACCGTCATTCATTCAACTGCTGCTTTTCCAAAAATGTGCTGACATCACAATAAGATTACCCTCCAACTGCAACATACCCACCTCTCCTTCAGAGTGTAAGCACTGCCCTTCCTACTTCCAGGACTCAGGTCCGGCTAACTGGTTTCCCTGAAACCCATCAGTTACCTTGCATACATTCCATCAGCATACTCATTCATTAACACGCTCACACAAGCCTGCTGGCTGCTTAAGCTCCTAAAATTCAAGTCTCTTTCACCCCCTCCCTCCAATTCCTTGAATAAGGCCTAAATGCCTTCCATTCCCTGAGGAACTGTATGACCCCTATGAGTTTAGTGCTCTCCCCCCTCCTTCATTATTACAGAGTTATGTCTTAAAGCGACTTATGAAAAGGTAGAAATGTTCTACACGATCATGTGACATGTAGTTTTTCTTACTCTTCTCTTATCTTTTCCTCTAATTTCGGTATACTTGAAGATATATTGAACCAAAGGTCTTGCTAGTAAGAAATCAGCCTGATCAGCACAATAAGATATAACACAATAAGCGTCAGGGGCCCAAGACTGTTCAATTGCCTCCCAGCATACATAAGGGGGATTACCAACAGACCCCTGTTGGTAATCCACAGCCCGGTTGGTCAGTATACCTGGCCAACCGGGCTGTAGTTCGTACGTCGGGTTGCATGCGGCCAACAGTAACAGCCTGGTTGATCAGGCCCTGGTCTACCATCAGGTTTGGTCACAGACCGGGCTGCGGGGGCGTTGAGCCCCGAAACTCTCCAGGTATACATATATAATGGTTATAATTACAACTATTTTTAAAGAGGTAGAGGGGTAAGCCTGTGGAATGCCTGTCAGATGACAGAAAGCTTTAGCTGCAGGTCATCTTGTGACGAAGACCCACATCAGGAAACGTTTGTCCTGTTTCCTGATGAAACTTACCTAACAAACCTTAACTACAGACATCATGGCACTGTTGGAAAAACAGTCAAATGGATGACTGTTGAACAGCACTTTTTCTGTTGGCGCAGCTGACTATTTTTATCGCCTTTTATCTTACATTTTTAGTTTTTCTGTTGTAACCTAACCTATCCTTACTTGATCTAACTTAACCTCAGAAATGTGCTGCAAAACCTATGTGAAAAAGCGTCATAGCTATTAGGAAGCTGGTTGGAAGCGATAACTACAGCTGTTTGACATTCAAGCATTTAAACTCACTTTTTATATAAAAAGAAACGTTACAGAACCCATATAAATACCTCAAAGTACCCAGATTTTCTGACGATGCGGTGGCTGAAGGCGACGATGATGGTGAGAATGATCATGAGCACCACGCCCGTCGGGTTGGCCAGGCCGCCCACCCAGCCGATGCCCAGGGAGGTGTCCCACATGTAGGCGTTCATGGTGATCCCTGTCACGTCTCCCAGTGTCACTGCCAGAACACCATTATTATTATTATAATCAAGGGGGAAGCGCTAAACCCGGAGGATTATACAGCGCCTGGGGGGGGGGGATGTGGAAGGCATTCAGGCTTAATTCGGGGAACTGGAGCACAGATCCAATTCCCTAAATCAAGAGCCCCTCACCAACATCAAGGAACCTTCCTTGAGGGGTCCAGAACACCAGCCATGAGAAGAACAAGCACTTACACTATCAATGCTTTTCACAGTTTTCAAGGGTATTAATGGTGTTAGAGATGGTGTCGTGAGTTGTGTTAGAGACGGTGTTACGGAGAAATTTACAGTTTAGCGCTTCCTTTTGATAATAATACGGAGAAACTTTGGGCAATGACCAGATGACACATGTGCAACACCCGTGTGTCTTTATCCAAAGACGTTTCGTCAACCAGTGGTTTTTATCAGTTTAACAGAATTGTCACACGGAGAGTAGATGAGGTAAATATGATTATCCCGGATAAATAACCCAGGTGTTACACACGTGTCAAATTCACAATAACTATTTTTTTTATATAGAGGTACATTCGTGGAAACAATATCTTTGAATTCCATTAGTTGTTAAGCATGGTTTTAATGCTTATCTGCCAACTCGAGCTTAGTATGAAGCCATGGTGAGGTGGAACTTATGATGGGCACTGTTCACCAAGTGGTGTAGGGCTCTCAATTGAGGCAACATTAACAAATCCTCACTGTATAGTCCTTGTGGCTTAGCGCTTCTTTTTGATTATAATAATAATAAATCCGGCCGGGCCACCACTTGGACAAGGCCCGGGCCGGGAGAATACCGGCTAATCTTTAACTAACTAACTAACTAATAACAAATCCTCAAATACAATAACACGCTACAAACGACACACTATCAACACGCTTACATAAATACAATTGTAACTCATTTATTCTTTCTCTCCCTAGACGTCTTTCCAAAAAACGGCCAGACACATTATGATCACATAATGAACCATTAAACCACAATATTATCATCAAATAATGAACCACTCAAGAACATTATGATAGAGTAACGAACCATTCAACCACACGTGCGGCCAGCAGTAATTGCCTGGTTGATCAGACCCTGATCCACCATGATGCCTGGTCTTAGACCGGGCCGCGGGGGCGTTGACCCCCGAAATCCTCTCCAGGTAAACTCCAGGTAACTAATTTTACCATTCAAAGGAAGGAGTCACTGATACCGATAAAAACCTCTTTATGAAAAAAATTAGAGCTATCCTCCCCTTCCTCGGGTCGAACCTGATACTTTCCCTCCCCCCTTCCCTTATTCACCAAGCGCTGTATAACATTATGGGTCATAATACATGCATTTCTCACCTCCAAAACTCAAGTCGGGATGTTTAGTTTCCAAACTTTTGCATGTACTCCTTTTCGGTCCTGTGGGCGGTAGTTACAAAGGTACATAATGGATTCAGGGAGGTGGCCACAACATTAGTGTTATCTAATCAAATTTGCGGTAATGAACTATTTGCAAATTTATAGACTACTGAGCAGCAGTAATGAGTTAATAGTCTTTAATTCGGTCACAATGTAGTTAGATGTCGTTATGAGTTATTTACAATGCGTAATATAACCAAATCTTTCTAAATATTTAGCAAGTTAAACTGGTTATGAGTTATTTAAAACTGACGAAGTGGGGGTATTCTTTTCCAGAATGGCTGGTAATGTGCCACCGCAGATAAAATCTTTGACATTTCTTGAACAATTGTGTGCAAGTTGTTTCTGAATTCATCAATTTTGTCTCATTTCAGCACACACTAGCACAAGACTCCACAAAGCCCACACCTGGCCAGGTCCGTGCCGGCTGGCCGTGCAAACTTCCAGAGCAGCACTCAAGCACTCGCTGCCTAGCTGAAGCAAGGCGGCAGCGACATCCAAGTGCTCGCCGACCCTGCCAGATGTGCTAGACATGTGGCTTACCCTGCAGTGCCTGCACGACAGAACAATTGACTGGTGCCAGCCCACCCCGTCAGTTGAAACTCCCTTCCTACTGTCCCTAAGTCACTAGCTGACACACTGAAGCTACAATCCACTCCCTCTCTGAAGGCACCCCCCCCCCTCTTCCAATTAATCAGCTCCATCATGAGCTATAAGGAGAATTTGAGAGGGAAACTACTGGTTACAACTCGCCCACGCCTTCGTCTAGCACCTAACAAGTTCACCACAACTGAGGACAGTGCGTCCAACCCAGACTCACACCACCAATTTATCTCTACCAATTTTCTTGAATCCTGCCACAACTGACATCGGAAACCAATCCAGACGCATAGACCACTAGCTAGGTTTTTCTTTTCTTAATCCTTACACACACACACACACACACACACACACACACACACACACACACACACACACACACACACACACACACACACACACACACACACACACACACCAAACTACAAGAAAGGGGACTACACAGGAATGAGGAACTACCTGAACGGGGTTCAGTGGGACAAAGAACTGGCAGGGAAGCCAGTTAATGAGATGATGGAATATGTAGCAACAAAATGCAAGGAGGCTGAGGAGAGGTTTGTACCCAAGGGTAAAAGGAATAATGAAAAAGCCAGGATGAGCCCATGGTTTACCCAAAGGTGCAGGGAGGCAAAAACCAAGTGTGCTAGGGAATGGAAGAAATATAGAAGGCAAAAGACCCAGGAGAATAAGGAGAACAGTCGTAGAGCCAAAACGAATATGCACAGAAAGAAGGGAGGCCCAAAGACAATATGAAAATGACATAGCAGCGAAAGCCAAATCTGACCCGAAACTGTTGTACAGCCACATAGGAGGAAAACAACAGTCAAGGACCAGGTAATCAGGCTAAGGAAGGAAGGAGGAGAGACAACAAGAAATGACCGTGAAGTATGTGAAGAACTCAACAAGAGATTTCAAAGAAGTGTTCACAGAGGAGACAGAAGGGACTCCAGAAAGACGGAGAGGTGGGGCACACCACCAAGTGCTGGACACAATGCACACAACCGAGGAAGAAGTGAAGAGGCTTCTGAGTGAGCTAGATACCTCAAAGGCAATGGGCCAGATAACATCTCCCCATGGGTATTGAGAGAGGGAGCAGAGGCGCTATGTGTACCCCTAACAACAATATTCAATACAGCTATCGAAACAGGGAGATTGCCTGAGGCATGGAAGACAGCAAATGTAGTCCCAATCTTTAAAAAAGGAGACAGACATGAAGCATTAAACTACAGACCAGTGTCACTGACATGTATAGTATGCAAAATCATGGAGAAGATTATCAGGAGAAGAGTGGTGAACACCTAGAAAGGAACGATCTCATCAACAGCAGCCAACATGGTTTCAGGGACGGGAAATCCTGTGTCACAAACCTACTGGAGTTCTATGACATGGTGACAGCAGTAAGACAAGAGAGAGAGGGTGGGTGGATTGCATTTTCTTGGACTGCAAGAAGGTGTTTGACACAGTTCCACACAAGAGATTGGTGCAAAAACTGGAGGACCAAGCAGGGATAACAGGGAAGGCACTACAATGGATCAGGAATACTTGTCAGGAAGACAGCAGCGAGTCATGGTACGTGGCGAGGTGTCAGAGTGGGCACCTGTGACCAGCGGGGTCCCGCAGGGGTCAGTCCTAGGACCAGTGCTGTTTCTGGTATTTGTGAACGACATGACGGAAGGAATAGACTCTGAGGTGTCCCTGTTTGCAGATGACGTGAAGTTGATGAGAAGAATTCACTCGATCGAAGACCAGGCAGAACTACAAAGGGATCTGGACAGGCTGCAGACCTGGTCCAGCAATGGCTCCTGGAGTTCAATCCCACCAAGTGTAAAGTCATGAAGATTGGGAAGGGCAAAGAAGGCCGCAGACGGAGTACAGTCTAGGGGGTCAGAGACTACAAACCTCACTCAAGGAAAAAGATCTTGGGGTGAGTATAACACCAGGCACATCTCCTGAAGCGCACATCAACCAAATAACTGCTGCAGCATATGGGCGCCTAGCAAACCTCAGAACAGCATTCCGACATCTTAATAAGGAATCATTCAGGACCCTGTACACCGTGTACGTTAGGCCATATTGGAGTAATGCGGCAACCAGTTTGGAACCCACACCTAGCCAAGCACGTGAAGAAACTAGAGAAAGTGCAAAGGTTTGCAACAAGACTAGTCCCAGAGCTAAGAGGTATGTCCTACGAGGAGAGGTTAAGAGAAATCAACCTGACGACACTGGGACAGGAGAGATAGGGGGACATGATAACGACATACAAATTACTGAGAGGAATTGACAAGGTGGACAAAGACAGGATGTTTCCAGAGATTGGACACAGTAACAAGGGGACACAGTTGGAAGCTGAAGACACAGATGAATCACAGGGATGTTAGGAAGTATTTCTTCAGCCACAGAGTAGTCAGTAAGTGGAATAGTTTGGGAAGCGATGTAGTGGAGGCAGGATCCATACATAGCTTTAAGCAGAGGTATGATAAAGCTCACGGCTCAGGGAGAGTGACCTAGTAGCGATCAGTGAAGAGGCGGGGCCAGGAGCTCGGACTCGACCCCCGCAACCTCAACTAGGTGAGAACTAGGTGAGTACACACACACGGGGCCAGGAGCTGAGTCTCGACCCCTGCAACCAAAATTAGGTGAGTACACACACACACACACACACACACACACATATATACAGATTTAAAATGCTGGTACACTAACAAAGTCTAAAGACCACTTGGCTTCACTCTTCTCAATCCACAGTCACACGTCTGCTGGAAATTCAGACGCCTACTTCTCACATCTTTCGCACTCTGCTACTTGACGCTTCTTTATATTATATTCATGGAAAAGCGCTAAACTTGCAAAGGGCCATACAGTGCCTGGAGATTGGAAGGCAATCAGGTCTGATTCGAGGAAAAGAACAGTTCGAATTCTTAGATAAAGAGTTCCTTACCAACATCAAGGCACGTACCCTTATCCCCCTTCAAAGAAAATTTCCTTAGAT